AAATGACAATGAACAAAATATTTCAACTAAAAAAATTTTTGAATATTTTCTATCATTTTGTATCATCAAATGAAAAATGAAAAGCCTAAAAAACATTCCTGAATTGCTTTAAATGCTGACATTTTCCTAACAAATGTTGAATGGCGTTTTACTTTTAATATAATTTGTAAAATCGTCTCGATATAAACAATCTTTGTTTTTCTGTTTTTGTTCCTCCGTCCGCCGTTCCAGAATTTGTTCTAGAATATTAAATTTCCATATTAATCGATTTGTAAATGTGTTCTTGAATGAAGCGTATTTTTCGGTTGGTTGGAGATTCTCAGGAAAATCTGATTTCTGTGTGTTCTTATCGAAGTAAAAGATCTTCTGTTGACTGTTCGAAAAGCATCGCATTTTGTCACTTCTCACCTCATCAAGTAATAAAAGACCATGAGGAATGTAAAAGCGATTCGTGTTGTTGTTACTACGTCCGATGTCATATCCCAATTTCTGGATTCCATTCTTGAGGCGACGTGGCACTAAACCTTCAAAGAACGTCTCAATTTCTGTCAATTTGAAGATTCGTTTACAACGAATGGGCATCGATTTGTTGTTGTAACATTGCGCTGGTTTCATAAGTGATTTTGCAAATTTCTGACACATTTGATTTCGTTCAACAAGCGACAAATGACGAACATCTTTTCCACCTAAAACAATGCCATCGATGATATGAAAAGCTGTTGATGCCATTTGTCCGCGATTCTCGCCAATTAATTCTTTGACAATCTCGCCGTAAAGTAAAGTATCGCCTGACATCTCCAACTGACGATCTGTCAATGGCTCCCAAGTATTTGTATTCATGTTGTAACTGACAACATCATGACGACCACGAGACATGTAAAATGTTCGATTTTTACTTGATTTGTTTATGTCGTCTACTCCAACAAAATACCAATCAAGAACTGAGATAATTTGACTTTTGAGGTGTTCAGGTGCTTCCAATGGTCGTTCTGGTGCTGACATAAACTTCTCTTTAAGCCACTTTTGTTCTAATAATTGTGCACAATATTGTTCATTCATTTTTATGATTGGTTTCTTTCGATTCTCATCTGGTAACTTCCACATATTCAGACATTTCTTTCTGATTTCTGATTGTTTTGATTCACACAATTCGGGATCTTGACAGTAGGCTGCAATCTTCAAAAGTCCCACAATTTGATTCTTGCCATGAATGTTGTTACTGTTATACATATAATCAAAGAATTCGCGATCGTTCTGCATAACACTCAAAGGCACCAACTCAAGAATGTCATCGTTGGCGCCTTCTTTGTGTCGCCAAAGTTCTTCATTCACTTCAAACAAATATCTTTGAATTGAATCTGTGTAAGCTTTCTTCCATTTACACACGAGATAACGTTCAGAATTTGCTGGACGACTTGTATTTGGTTTGCAAATTGAAATTTGTTGGAAACTTTTGTACATCAAATAAATAAGCGAAACACTAAAAGGTGTGAAAAGGTCAAAAAGTTTCACAACAAAATGTCCTTTCGTACGAACAATTGTTAATGCAACGAGGCACTGTGCGAGATATAACTGCTTTGATAGAATCTCTTGAATATTTTCTTGTCCTTCAACTGAAAAACCTCCATCAGCCATCATAAAGTGAACTCCAGATTCGGTTTCATCTTTGATAAGCTCTTCCAGCGAGCGAATATTTTCAGGATCGTAGACGTTTCCATCTTCATTAATGCCATAAAAAGGTGAGAAAGATTCCGATGGTCCAGCAAAAAAGTCCTCAATTTTAAAATCATTCTCAGCTCTCAATGTAAATCCAAATCCTTTTGATTCCCACTTTTTACGGTATAAAATGTACTCAGAGAATCCTCCAGGACCAGCACAGACATCAGCAAAGTATAAAAGATCGTTGCTACTGACAAGTGAGGTGCCTCTCTCATCAACAGGATTTGTGAACATGAAATCAAACATGCAATCCATATTTGCCATTTTCACTGCTGCACGGTTTAAGAAAATGTTTCCACGTATTGTCTCGAAAGGATTTGACTTGGTTCTTGCACGTCTCATGTCGTCAGCTCCTTAATTGTCGAAAACGGATTTGGATTCAAGTACACGTTTGAGGATATTTTCATCACAAAACAAAGTTTCGTTGTCGATCGTGTTTTTCTTTGGGCCTCTTCTTATCCATGTTGGAAGTTCAGTTGAGAGTTCCAACAATGATTCGTCGGGTTCATGATTCACTAACCATTCAACACGTTCAGGTATAGAAATATCTTCGATTGCTGGATCCCATTTCACTGCTGCTTTATCTAAATCATCTAATCTTAAGCCGAGACCACGACGTCCTCTTTGTTGCGATGCTTCAACAGGTTCGACTCTTCCTTGTCCAAGTCGGCCCAGACCGGCGTCTTTTCGGTATCCCATTTTCTCCATCATTCTCATAGATGGACCTGAATATAATGCTGTGTCATATGATGTCATTGATTGTCCGTTGTTTCCGTCACGTTGTGGTTGTTCAGTGTCACTCGGGTAAGGCGATTCGGTGGATTCACTTAACAATTTTTGTCGTTTACTTGAAACTGGTTCGTCAGCTTCATCACTTGTATGAGAATAAGTTCGCTTAACATTTTCATTAGACATGTATTTACTAGTTTGTTGCTGTTGTTGATCCTCGTCATCAGTGCTTGCTGGATTATAATATGAAATGACACTATCGTGCGATTGTTGGGTCATAAAGCTTTGTGATGTATTTTGTACTGCCGACTCATCTTCACTTGTATACGATGCTGTTGAATCTAATCTTTTAAATTTATGTCCTTCATCTTCACTGCTAGTATAACTTGGTTGACTCTGAAGATTTCCAGCAAAATTTTGATTACTGCTACGAGAAGAAAAATAAAATTTATGTAAAATTTTTTCTATTTTTTTCTAAAAATTTATAATTAACTCACTAATTGTAATTATTTGTCGTTTCTTCATCATCTTCTTCTTCACTATCGTTCATTGATTCACGAGTATAACGCTGATAAAACTGATTTTTAGCCATGACTTCTTAAGAATGAATCAAAATTTCTGAAAATTAATCTCAGAATGGATTTCGAATTCAATTTCGAATAACCCGAATAACCCGACTTGGTTTTCGAACATTCGTTTGCCTTCGGATAATCGAGAAATTAAATTTAACTACAAATTTCAATTAATCATAACATTAACACGCCTTAATTATAATACCAGGTAGAAAATAATTCATTGCTTTTCATGTTATAAAACTTTCTTTAATGACTTCCTTTGTTTCTTATCAAATAGCGAACAAATATAAACCGCATGACAGGCAGACATGAAATAATTTGTGAATACATTTTTGATTGCTAAAAAGTTTGTTTTCTTTCAACACAAGTCATAAGTTTATATTTTTGGAATATAAAATTTATTCCTGTGCAGTCAGTAGTTTAGAAAAGTGACAAAAAATTGTGCTCAACAAATAATAAGATTTAGATAAGTAGAAAGATCTTAAGAGCAGAGCCAGAAAACATCAATTATGGCTGATTTTGTTGATAGTGAGGCATCGGAAAGCGACGTGAGTATAATTTGGTGATTTGTAGCCTAAAAAAATGCTTAGTTTGATAAACAAGCTTAAATATGATCGTAAATGCAAATATAAATCATATTTCAGTAGATTTGTAAACTATTTTAAGTTTTTTTGATATCGAGCATTTGAGTCGCAATTTTCCTCTCAATCGATTTTTAAAACTAAATTTCTTCTTATAGTCAGAAATTGAGGACGAGTTGGAGCCTCATGAACGCAAAAAGCTCAAAAAGATCAAAGCAGTTTCTGATTCGGAAGACGAAGAAGAAGGTAAATAAAGTTTGATATTTTGTCTGGATGTTGTTGTAATTTTGTATCGCTTTCTCTCTTTCTCCCCCTTTTTTTATTAAATTTACTAGATGATGAAGACAAAATTCGTGAGGAATTAAAGGATCTTATTGACGATGCACCAATAGAAGATGAAGAAAGTGATGCTGATTCTGATGCGTCTGACAGAAATGCAAAACGTAAGAAATCAGATGACGATGATGATGAATTGGATGATCGTCTTGAAGATGAAGATTATGAACTTATTGAAGAGAATCTTGGCGTCAAAGTTGAAAGGGTAAACATTTTATATAACGTTTATCAAGAAAATTATTAAAATTAATTCATTTCCAGAAACGATTCAAACGCTTGAAAAGAATCACCGATGAGGAATCTGACACGGAAGAACGCGACGAAAATCTTAATCGTGAAGTGATTGCTGATCAATTGTTCGTTAATTCGGACGAGGTAACTATAAAAAGAGTCACCCGTTTGTTTATCATCATCTAAACTATTTTTTTTTCTTGAAAATTCCAAAATTCATAAAAAAAAACTTTCTTCAGGAACAAGACAATCAGGTACAGCAGAAAATAAATCCCTTTCATTAAAAGCTCATTAATGATGTGATTGAAAAGTAATTAAAATATCTAATTAAACAATTGTTTGATTCTTATAGGAAGATGAAAGAAAATCAGAAAGAAGTCATCGAAAAAATGAACCAGAACGTTACGATGAAGAAATGTCTGAGGAGTCTGATGCTGATGATTTTATTGTTGATGATTATGGCAATTCAATATCAGAAAAGAAGCGTAAACGTCGTCCCGTCTTCACCGATGCTTTACTGCAAGAAGGTCAAGACATTTTCGGTGTTGATTTCGATTACGATGAGTTTGATAAATATGACGAAGACGAGTATGAAGATGAATCAGCTGATGAGGATGAATATGAAGAAGATGATCGTGGTGAGAAGCACACGAAGAAATCCCAAAGGAAGAAAGTTCAAAAGAAGTCAATCTTCGATATTTATGAACCGAGTGAACTTAAACGTGGACATTTCACCGACATGGACAACATCATTCGTAAGACTGACATTCCCGAACGAATGCAACTGCGTGATGTTCCAATTCCAAGCGTCCCGGAAGGTTCAAACGAACTCGAAGATGAAGCTGAATGGATCTTCAAACAAGCATTCTCAAAGCCTCCAATTTCTAAAGTTCAATCCGACAATTATGGACGTAAACAATCGACAGCAATTGCGAAGGTAAAGAAAGCCTTGGACTTCATTCGTAATCAACATTTGGAAGTTCCATTTATAGCATTTTATCGCAAGGAATATGTGCAACCAGATTTGAAGATTAAAGATCTTTGGAAGGTGTACAAATACGATGCTAAATGGTGCATTCTTCAATCACGTAAACGTGGAATGGTTCAACTTTTCGAACGTATTCGTGAACATCAATTAGATAAGTTAGATAAGCTTCCGGAAGATGCGACATTGCCTGAGATGAGATTGATAAAAGATGACGATATTGATCGATTGAAAGTTGTTCAAACACCTGAAGAATTGAAAGATGTTCACGATCATTTTCTTCTTTATTGTGCACCTGACATTGAAAGTTTGAAAGCAATTGAACATCAAAAGCGTCGTGAACAGCGTAAAAAGGATCGCGAAATTCATGTTCGTGAACGAAAGGAAGACATTCAACGTGAAATAAAAGAAATTAAGTCACTTGATGAAGAACCGTCAGAAGAGGATGAAGAAAAGTTGCGAGCACTTCAAGAAGAACTTGAAGCATTGCAAGTTGATGGAAATGAGATGATTGTCGATGTTGACGAGGATAATAACGAGAAAGGCGAAGAAGCAATCAAAGTGTCACGCGATACTGGGCCTTACGCACGTTGTCGTAAGGCTGGAATTTGTGGATTTGCGAAATTATTTGGCTTGACACCAGAACAATTCGCTGAGAATTTAAGAGACAGCTATCAAAGACATGAAGTCGATCAGGAACTTTCTGATCCATTTGAATTAGCGAAGAATTACATCACAACACACTTCACAACTGTTGACGAAGTTCTTGATGCTGCGAAATTTGTTGTCGCACGACAAATTGCACGCGAACCTTTATTGAGAAAATCTGTTCGTGAAATTTTCTACGAACGTGCAAAAATTTCTGTTCGTCCGACGAAAAAAGGAATGAAAGAGATTGACGAGTTCCATGCGTGCTACACAAATAAATATTTGAAGAATAAACCCGTGCGCGATTTAACTGGCGATGAATTCTTAAAACTGAAAATTGCTGAACAAGACAAACTTTTAACTTTGACAATCTCCGAACGATTTGAAGGCAACACGACAAATTCATTTCTCGATGAGATCAAACAGCTTTATTATCGTGATGAATTTGCCCAACATGTTCAGAATTGGAATAAATTACGAAGCGAATGCGTAGAATTGGCGCTCACAAAAATGGTCATTCCAGATCTTCGCAAAGAACTCGATTCGATTCTTCTCGCTGAATCGAAAGAATTTGTCATGGAAGCTTGCAGTCGAAAGATTTTCAATTGGATCAAGACAGCTCCGTACGATGTTGGCGATAATTTTGATGAAAATGATTACGAATGGGAGACATCAAAAGGAATTCGTGTGTTGGGACTTGCTTACGTTCCTGATCATTCACAAGCAGCTTTTTGTGCGATAATCAATCATGACGGTGACGTCACTGATTATCTTCGACTTCCACACATCCTGAAACGTAAACAAACGAATAACAACAATGAAAAAGCATTGAAAGAAGCTGATCTTGATACACTTGCTGAATTCATTCGTAATAAGAAGCCGCACGTCATTGCAATTGGTGGTGAATCACGAGAAGCACAAAATCTTCAAGTTGATTTACGTGAATTGATTCAACAAATTATGGATGAAGATAAATTTCCTGAAATTAATGTTGAAATTGTTGACAATGATTTTGCGAAAATCTTTTCCAACTCGAAGAAAGGCGAAGTTGAATTTCGGGAGTATCCGCCATTACTTCGTCAAGCTGTGTCAATAGCACGTCGCTTGCGTGATCCTTTGGTTGAATTTAGTCAGTTATGTTCACCAGACGAAGAAATTTTATGTTTACGTTATCATACATTGCAGGATCATTTATCGAAAGAAGATTTAGCTGATGCAATTTACACAGAATTCATCAATCGGACAAATGAAGTTGGCGTCGATATTAATTTAGCTGTTCAGAATCCATTAACAGTGAATCTTGTTCAGTTCATTTGTGGTCTTGGACCGAGAAAAGGACAAGCATTAATTAAAATATTGAAGCAAACAAATCAACGATTGGAAAATCGAACACAACTCGTCACATCCTGTCACATGGGGCCGAAAGTTTTCATCAATTGTTCCGGTTTTATAAAGATTGACACGAATTCACTTGGAGATAGTACAGAGACTTATGTTGAAGTTCTTGATGGTTCACGCGTTCATCCAGAGACATATGAATGGGCAAGAAAAATGGCTGTAGATGCACTTGAATATGATGACGACGGAGCGAATCCCGCTGGTGCACTTGAAGAGATTTTGGAAGCGCCAGAACGTCTCAAGGATCTCGATTTAGATGCATTTGCTGTTGAATTAGAGAAGCAAGGCTTTGGTAACAAAGGAATAACTTTGTATGACATCCGAGAAGAACTTGAGTCGCGTTATCGTGACAAAAGAATTCCATACGAGCCACCAACAAATGAAGAATTATTTGACATGTTAACAAAGGAATCAGCTGAGACATTTTATGTTGGAAAAATGTTGTCAGCAACTGTCACTGGGATTACACATCGAAAGCCATCAAGTGATCAACTCGATGGCGCAAATCCAGCGCGTAATGATGAGACTGGAATGTGGCAATGTCCATTTTGTGTGAAGAATGATTTTCCTGAATTGTCAGATGTTTGGGAACATTTTGACGCTCAAGAATGTCCTGGAACAGCTGTTGGTGTTAAATTACGACTTGATAATGGACTTTTTGGATTTATTCACATTAAGAATTTGTCTGATAAGCATGTGAAGAATCCTGAAGAACGCGTCCAACCTGGAATGCCAATTCATGTTCGCATCATAAAAATTTATGCTGAAAAATTCAATGTCGATTGTACGTCAAAAAGTTCGGATTTAGCTGATAAAAATAATCAATGGCGACCACCGAAAGACGACTTTTATGATCAAGATACTGAAGATAATGACATGAAGAAAGAAGTTGAGTCGAAGAAAGTTAAAGCACGACAACAATACACAAAGCGTGTCATCGTCCATCCAGCATTCCACAACATTTCTTATGCTGAATCTGTGAAGCTTCTTAAGAGTATGGATCAAGGTGAAGTCGTTGTCAGACCATCAAGTAAAGCAACTGATCATTTGACAGTGACATGGAAAGTTGCTGACGAAGTTTTTCAGCACATTGATGTGCGTGAAGTTGGGAAAGAAAATACATTTTCACTTGGCACATCACTTTTCATTGGCACTGAAGAATTTGAAGATCTTGACGAAATCATCGCTCGCCATATTAATCCAATGGCAGGTTATGCAAGAGATTTGATCACGTTCAAGTATTATCGTGACGGATTATGTGGAGTTCGAGATAAAGCTGAAGAATTGTTGAAAGATGAGAAGAAAAAGAATTCAAATAAAATTCATTACTTCTTGTCAGCATCGAAGAGTTATCCTGGAAAGTTCATGATTTCTTATCTCCCACGCAACAGTTGCAGACATGAATATGTTTCAGTCACACCAGACGGCTTCAAATTTCGACAACAAATGTTTGATAACATAAATGCACTCATGAAATGGTTCAAAGAACATTTTAAAGATCCACTTCCAGTACAAACACCCGGAAGTACTCCAAGAGGTGGATCGTCAGCAAGATCATCTTATGCAACGCCAGGTTTAAGTGTTCACAGTAAGTTTCACTTCCTTCTTTAAATTTCTTTATATTTTAATGTTAATTTTATTTCAGATGAAGCCATCCAAAGAGTCGCACAAAATCTTCCTTCGCATATGTTCAATTCACTCGCTCAGGCAACTAACACTCCACATTATCCACATGCTAACACTGTAAGTGGTTTTAATTGTTATTAAAATACGATGAAAATAAAATTTTCTTTCGACCTTTCCAGCCTTACACACCTTCAGGTCAAACTCCATTTATTATGATGACACCTCATACGTCACAAACTCCACGTTATGGACAATTGACACCAACACAACAAGGACAATTCTTGAGACCTGGAGCGCCTGTTTCACGTGGACCACCGACTTATCGTGCTTCACCATTCAACTCAGGTGCATCTCCAAGAGTTATGATGCCACCAGCACAGACAACACCAAGTCGCCGGCATTCAGCAGCTCAAGATGATGACGATGAATGGGATAAAGCACAATCAGCATGGGGAAGTTCAAGAGGCAAAGCAAGTACACCAAGAGGTGACAGTGTTGGAAGAACAACACCAAGAGGGTGAGAGAAAAGACTTTTGAGAAAATTATCAAACAATTTTACAATGAAAATTAAAATCTTTTCAGTTCCGGAAGCAGACACGATGACTTTGTCAGGAAAACTCCACAATATGAGTTGGAAAGACCATCGAGTCGTTCAAGTGTTCGTTCTTCAGGAGGAAGATCAATTCGAAGTACACCTCGTACAAACTCATCACCACATTCGATGGTTCTTGGTGATGATTCGACCCCACTTTATGATGAAACTTAAATTTAATACAAAAAAAGGAGGGAAATTTTTAAATTCATTTTTATTTTCTTTTAAAAACCCAGCAGATAAGATTTTTGGTTTTTATTTCAAATTTACTCCCTTGTTTCATTTAATTTAATGAAATTAAATAAGATTGAATAAAAATAAGAAGAAGAAATATTTTTGTTTTGCTGTCAGTTTTATTTGTTTCAGTTGTGCTGTCAGTGGTGTCAATGATCCTTTGAAAACTTTTCATGTTTTCAATTAAAAATATTAATTATCTGCTGTGAATAAAGATTAATTTAATTATAATCAAAAGAATTTTAGATTTTTATTAATTTTTTTTTATTTTGTCTTCTTGATAAGAATATTTTTTTCATGTTTCCAATTTCACTTCCCTTCTTCTGAGTTTGCAGGTCAAAGACTTTTTCACACTTTATTCCTTTATCAGTTTCAGTTATTTTAGTCTGAAACTTTGATGTAACAAATCAATATTTTCCTGCATTTAAGTCTTATTTCATCTTTTCTCTTTCTTCTCAATCTCTTACGCGATCTTAATTATGTTTACCTAATCTAAGTGCTTTTCATTTTTAACATGTTCATGCCATTATAGTATACGAAAAAGTTTAATTAATTAATAAGAATATAATTACAATCAATTAAGAAATGGGTAAGAAACGTCATTAACTGAAAGCCCTTAAGCGTTTAAGAGAAAAATAATTAATTTACATGACGGGCTCAGCGATTCGGTTCCCGATATTGTGAACAAAAAATTTATAAAAAAATGGAAAAAGAATCGAAACAATATCATTAACAATTTTTCTCTGTTTGCCACACGCGAATTTTATAAACATTTTTAAAATTGGATGCGAAAAAGCAGCAAGTGAAATCTTACAATAGTTTCAAGTCTTCATAAGATTTGATGCGAGGCATGTTTGAAATTTATTAGCTTAAAATTTTTGTAAGAATATCATTTAAACTTTATTAATAAAACTGCAAAAATCATTTCATTCTTCTAAGCTGAAGAAAATTAATTTCAAAAATGCTTCGCAATGCAATCCATAAAATAAGCTTAGAAACATTTTAATTTTCACTTTAACACTTTTTCATTCCAATTTCATATTAAATTAATTATTTTTCATCCATGTTAACAAAAAAAAAGGAAAGAAAAAACATTTTAATCAACAAATTGTTTCAGTTTTAATATTTAAAAAAATGCCTTAAACACAGAAAAAAGAAAATTCTATTTTGGCTCACGAGAATCTCATCCAGGATTGTCCAACACGTTTTATCACTTTCTGTTAACTGCTTACGCAACACTCCCGGATGGAACTCTTTATCATGTCGCACTTTTTGTTTTCTTACAAGTTAATTCTTTTTTATCTGTTTTAGATTTAAATTTTAAAAAAGAAAAACCTCAAATGTATTTTTTCGCTTTGTTATTTTTTATCTCCATAAGATTGCAATAATTAAAGCGAAATAACTTTGGAAAAAGAAGACAAAAAATCACTGACGATCGATGGTTTGATATTTTGTTATCACTAACAACTTCGACTATAAAATATAAATTATTCAACATTTTTCCAATTTTGTTTTCGCGCGCGTTCGATCGAATCGTTTTCTCTTCTTTTTCCATAATTTTTCTTAATTTAACAATTTTTTTTCGTTCTTTTTATGTTTCTTATTCAACCAATCAACGATTTTCATTCGTTTAATTGTTAGGAATTCCTCGATAATTTTAATTTTTTCTTCTATAATTCATGACTCATTTTTGATAACTTTTTTAGAGCATATCACGAGTTGATGGTGATCAGCGCCTTGTGGTAGTTCGTCTTGATGCTCTTAGGATTTTCCTTTGATTAGCAGCGGCAGCTGAGCCAGTTCCTTGAGCTCTAAAAAAATTAAATAAAATAATTTAGTGTGAAATTAAAGCAATTTTATGTTGTGAGTATCCTTACGAAAATGGAATGGGCATTTGTTGAGTTATTCCCGTTCCAAACTGCATAACTGGAGCTGAAGCTGGGGTCTAAATAAGTAAAGAGAAAAAGTTATGTCTCTATCATTATTTTTCTAATAAAAGTTTATTAATTATGATTAAAAAGCATTTCAAACGTTTAAGCTGACAGATTGTTTCATATTCCAGTTAGTCCCAAGGAAGAAAACAATAAAACAAATGAAAAGTGAAATAAATTGATCATCGAGTGAATTAACTTTTTTGCATTATCCTTAATTCAGTCACAAACACAAGAAAAAGACACAAAATATAGAAAAGATGAGAAATTAAGATGAAAGATCTCAAAGAAGCGAAAACAAACACCATGCAGCAAATGAATGAAAGGAGAACTATGAATAAACCAATTTGAGAAAAAAATCATTCAACATACAAACGCAAAAATGTTCGCAGTAGAATTACTGTTGTTGGCACCGAATTGGAAAAGACTTTGCTGTTCCTGTTGATTATTAATTCAGGCGCAATTAAAAATAAATATAAAAGAAAAAAATAAGAAAAAATATAAACATTCGATCACTCATACAAGAAGAAAAAAAGAAAAACAGGAATCGGAAATTATTTTAAATTTCGTAGACCTGAACATTAATTAAAATAATGAATTCAGCACTCACTTGAGGATTATTGTTGTTATTTAGAGTTGAGTTACTAAAATTGAAGCTTGGAGCTGAGTTTGCAGAAAAGTTGAAAGCTGGCTTGTTGTCATTTGTCTGTTGTTGAGCATTGAATTGAAAAGGTGAACTCTAAAGAAAAATGACAAAAGAAATGAGTCAAAGCTTCTTGAATATTTTTAAAATGAACTTACCGAGTTCGTAGTAGTATGAGCACCGAAATTAAATTTCTTCCCTTGTGGAACTTCCGACATAGCATTAGCAGCGGGAGTAGAGTTCACAGAACTTGCACTCTCAAATGTTCTCTTTTGTGGTTGATTCGGTGAACTGCCAAATGCAGGCATTTTACTCCCAAATCCACTTTCATTATTGTTATTGATGTTATTCGATGATGCACTAAATGATTGCGTTGAACTTGCACCAAACACAGGCGTTGCATTCCCAATCGCCTGATTTGCACCGAAAAGCATCGGCGCACTATTCGGCATTGTTGGATTTGATCCAAAAGCGAATATCGATGAAGGCTGTGGCTGCTGTTGAAGTTGATTTGAAGAAGATGTCGTCTCATCTTTCTTAATTCCTGAGAAACTGAATCCACCTGATGCCGAAGTGTTCACTTGCCCACCAAACGCCGGTGTCGTTTGTGCTGTACTCGATCCAAACACTGGAGTCACTTCACCAAAAGATCCAAAAGTTTTCGCTTTCTCATTATTTGTCGATGACTTTGGTGAGCCAAACATAAAACTGCTTGTCGTCGCTGCCGTTGCTGTTGTTGTTGTCATTGTTGATGACGTTCCAAAACTTATTGGAGTTGTTGATGAACCAAAAGAAAATCCACTCGAACTTGGTGAAACACCTGCCGTTGTCGTGGCAATTGTTGGCTTTGGCGATGATGAAAATCCACCAAAACTAAAGCCACCGTTTTTATTCAATGAACTTCCAAATGTCGGTGGTGGATCGGATTTTGGTAATGTTGACACAGTTGAGAATTTAAAACCACCAAGTTCGACTTTATTTGCTTCTGTGGTTTTCGTTGCCGTCGTCGTTTTGTCTTCGTTTTGACCAAATGTAACAACCGGCGTTGTTTTGACCGGCGCTGGTTCTTCTTTTTTCTTTTCTTCTGCTTTTTCCGGTTGCTCTTGTTGTTTAGCTGAAGACACGGGAGTTTGAGGAACAATACTAACAGCTGTCGGTGTCGCGGTGAAACTTAAAGTAGGCACTGACGTTTCCTTTATCGGTTCTGAAATTTTTCCAAATGAAAACATCGGCGGTGTTGGGTTTGGCTTATCAACTTCATCTGATTTCGTTGACACAACAATAATTTCATCTTTCTTCGTTTCAGGAACTGATTGTGGAACAGTTGCTGGCATTCCAAATGAAAACTTCACTTCAGATGGTGCTGGAAGTGATACTGATGAAGACATTTTACTTCCAAAACAAAATGATGACGATGAAACATTTTTTTCCATTCTTTCTTGTTCACAAGAAACGCATTTCTTCTCTGATGGTTGATTTCGTGTCATGCAAGCTGAACATTCCCATGTTGAACTCTGCTTTGCAACAATCTTCTTAAATTCAGAATCATTTGATGGTTTTATGCCGAAAGTGAACTTTGATGTTGAATCAATTGTTGATGAAGGTGGTGGTGCTGGTTTGCTTCCTGATTTAGGAGTTGAACAACAAGCACATTCAGTTTTGTCTGCAGCATTTCTTGTCATGCAAGCATCACATTCCCACTGTGATTGTTTTTGTTTGGCTGCGAGACTCTTAAAAAGATCATCAGCTGTTGTTGATGTTGTTGAAGGCATTCCAAATTTAAATGATGAATTAATTGAAGAAGTTGTCGCTGCAGTTGTTGATTTCTTATTGCTTCCAGCTTTAGGCGTTTCACAACATAAACATTTGTCTTTACCAACATCGTTCTTTGTCATACAAGCATCGCATTCCCATTGAGATTTCTTTTGTTGTGCAGCAAGATTTTTGAATAAATCGTCAGCTTTTGGTGGTGGTGATGCCGGAATTGTTTTCGTCTTGCTATCTCCTGGCTTTGCTGTGTCACAACATAAACATTTTGTCTTTTCTGAATCATTTCTTGTCAGACATGAATCGCATTCCCATGTTGATGATTTTTGAGCTGCAACAAGATTTTTAAACAAATTATCAGTGGCAGGTGTGGAGAAAAACGATGATGATGATGGAGCAACAACTAGAAAAAGAAAATGAAATTAAGAAATATTTTAAAATAACAAATAAAGAAAAGAAAAACTTACTTTTATCTGAAACATCGATGAGAGTTGGTTTGCTGAAAACAAATTTATCAGCAACATGATGTAAATTCCTAACATCGATTGCTTCATCATCTTCAATTGCAGACAATGGTTTCGATAAAATAAAATCACTTTTCTTGGCTACAAATCTTGACGAATTTTCTATTGGTGATGATTTTGCGGTGTAATTGAATTGAATTGCTGGCTTAGGTGAGTTGATTGTTGTCAACTTTGATGTTGTTATCGTTTCACTGCTACTGCATAAAGTTTTTGTGGCTGCTGATGACATTTGAATGTTGAACTTTGGAATTGACTTTAATTCGGGCAATTGAACGTTGGGTAAATTAACAGGCAGTGCTGGAAGTTGATCATTGATAGCATTCTTGTCATGTCTAAGAAGACCTTTCGTGATGTTATTTTTCATCTTAAGAGACGATGAAGATGACGACGCTGATGTTGGCTTTGAAGTTTTTAATTCATTTCTTGGCTCATTGCCGGTTGATGGCAACTTGTATTCATGATTTTGATTAAGAAAACTATCAGAACGATTTGCAATCTCACGAACTCGTTCAGTGTTATTTTGAAGTCTTTTCATTTGTAAAAGTTGCGACATTGTCGGTATTTGGAGCGGTTTAATGGACGATGAATTAATCGTAAGTGATGATTGCTGTTCCATTCGACTTGAGTCTTTCATTGGACGTCCGTAAGGATTCGCTGGACTCGATAATGATATACTACGATTTAAGTTAAGTTCATCATCGCAAAATCGCTTTCGATTTTGTATAAGTGATGGAATTTTTATTATCGAGTTGATGCTATTGCCCATGTTGCGAGCTTCTTTTAATGGTCCACTGAATTGATTCATGATTTCCAATATTCTTTTGGCGGCATTTGATTCCGGCAAAACGCTATCGGATTTTGCTGATGTATTTGACGAGTTTGATAAGCTTGATGATGGACGCATCTGTACAGGATTTCTGAGGATTTTATGTTGATTGATATCGCGCTTGGGATATGCTGAGGCACCGCCAAACGTCGTCTTGCCATTATAAAAAGGCGAATTTACGAGAAATAGACGACTGTTGGTACTATTAAGTGACATGTTACTTCCATAGAGTGATGAGTTGAACGACTGACGACTCAAAGCGTTATTTTTCGGAGAAAACAACGACTTACGTGTGTCGAGATGTGTAGCGAAACTAAGTTCGCTTGTTGATGCACAAAACCGCTTGCTATTATTGCCCATAAAGCCAGAGAGTCTTCGCTTTGAATCATTTAAATTTGTTTCACTGTTTATTCTACGAGCATGACTGGATGAAAGTGGAAGCGGTGTTGGTGTTGGAGTTTGTGAAACTGACACTGATGCACTGTCTGGAATCTCTATATCCAAATCACTTTCATTTAATTGGCTATTAGATTTAGACAGCTCGCCGTCCTCATCACTGGATCCTTGAGCATCTTCAGTGTTTCTTTCGCGGATTGTTTTTAGTCGATTTGATGAGGCAGCTACCGGAAGATATGAACTGAAACTTCTAGGTGGCTCAGAATTCGACCGATCCTCAGCTTTATTTAATTTTAAACGATTAGGACCTTCAATTAAGCCAACTTCCTCACTTCCGTCCCTGATGCCGCGACGTCCTTTCACATCTTTCATTTCGTTGAACCCTGAATCCATTGAATTACGCATATCACTAAGTAGAAAACTCTGAGCCTAAGCGTTACACTATTTCTATGATATTTTAAACTTGTGGTAGAAATAAGAAGAATTTACTTTGCGGGGATGTGATATAAAAAAAATGTGTTCGATCTTTTTTTTTCACAAAATCATCTTCACGAGAATTTTGCTCTTTTCCTTTCAAGTTGAGTTAAGAAAATATATAATCACACTATTGAAAACTTATAAGGTTTACGATTTAAAAGCTTTTAAGAACTCGAATAATGCGCGTTTTGATGATTTTCTATTTGAAGATATTTTCTATAAACGCACTCCTTGTTTTAGATTATTACTAAACGTACTCTTTATTTTTGAACTCAGTTTGAACCTTTTTGATCTTAAAATATTTTGAAAAAAGCTGTTAAATTATTTTTTTATTCTTTCAACTTTTCATGTTTTCCATACGTATACCTTCGCATATACATTTCACATATATCCACATCTATCATCTATTAGCTAAACACAAATATTTATGTGTGAAATAATTAATTACCATTTGTTTAACTTTTGTTGAAAGAAAAAAGTAAGAATAAGAAATCGCTTATTACTAAAGTTTTTATTTATAGTAAATGACTTATTCGCACACAAGTCAAGAAAGAAGTTAATTGAATTTGCAAGATATATTTTTTTATCTGAAATTAAATTGATCGGTCGACGACTCAAATGAAATTAGCATTGCTTGTTTTTTCCAATTATCGCTAATAGAAATGTGCTCGAAAAACGCATATTGTTAGTTTGTTGAATCTATTTGTTTTTATTTTGCCAACTAAATATTGTAAAGATTTATAAATGCCATTGATCCATTTTAAAAAATCCGTGCCAAAATCAATCTTAAGAAACACTTTCCAATGTAACGCAAAAAACTTAAGGAAAATAGTCAAATTATGAAGAAAAAGAAATTATTTATCTAGGTAGAAGGAATTTTGTGGGTTTGAAAACAAATTTTAATGCTTTACCATTTATATAAATGTAAGTTGAATGATACAATTATTCAAATCCAATGGTTAAAACTGTGTTAATGGAGAGTGAGGAGTACAAGAAATTAATCATGAGAAAAAAAGGGGAGGAATTATTAATGAATGATTTAAAGTTGGCCGCTGCTGGTGACAGTAATGGTTTTCGACGGCTTTCCAGATTGACTTCCGTACGACTCAATCTTCTTAACAACATCCATGCCTTCCACAACCGATCCGAAAACAACATGACGATTATCCAACCACGACGTCTTAACAGTGGTGATGAAGAATTGTGATCCATTTGTGTTGGGTCCAGCATTTGCCATGGACATAATTCCAGGTCCAGTATGCTTCAAAGTGAAGTTTTCATCTTCAAATTTATTACCGTAGATGGATTTTCCTCCAGTGCCATTGTGGTTCGTAAAATCACCTCCTTGACACATGAAGTTGGGGATGACGCGATGGAATGTAGAGCCTTTGTAGCCGTAACCCTTTTCACCGGTGCACAATGCACGGAAGTTCTCGCAGGTTTTTGGTACAACGTCAGTGCGGAGCTGAAATAAAAGCGATTTTTTTATTAGCCATGAATGAGACAATCTAAATAAGATGATCACACTTAACAGTGTGTCAGAAAATATTTAAAGAATAAGAAGCTTCTCAATTAGTTAGAAACTTTCCATTAAACTAACACAACTCTCTTTGTCTCGCTTTGATTTACGTGCAAACCATTTGATTGCCTTCTCTTTTTTTTACTTTTCTTTTCATCTCGTGTTTGCCAATATTGCTTCGAACAATTTAGAATATCTTCGTGTGTGTGTGAGTGAGACTTTTATTTAACCCTCTGATGCACGCGCGCATTGAATTAATCATAATTTCAACAATTTCCAATGGAAAATTCCCGAAAAAAATAATTTGGCGGTTTAGAAATATGAAAAATTCTTAAAGAAGAACATCATAAATTATTGATATCAACTTTGATTTCATTATTATCCTTTTGACGCCCTCAATGGATGATTAGTTCGACTGTTTTAATAGCGAACCCGTCAACTAAATGAATAATTAATAAGATGGTAATTTGTAAGTAAATAGAGAATCAAAAAATATCGATTTTCATCACGAAAAGTGGGAAAGCTTAACATCCAAAGCCGGCGAAGCAATGTAGAGTGAGACAGAAATATCATAACCTTCAACCATTTTATTTTTTTGATGACCACATTTTTCAAGTCGGTAAATTTTATTCACTTTTAACATGTTAAATATACCAATTAAATGCTCACCTCTATTACGATGCGTCCAACTGCGTTGCCATCGGCAGCCATATCAAAGAAAACTCTCGGTAAACCCATTTTATCTGCAAAATTTCTCACAAAATTACTATTGAAGCTTTTTCCGATGTGGTTCGGTTGAAATAAGCTGAAAGACTGAGAGCATCTGGCAATTTTAATCAAAAACATTTCGTCGTATTGTCAACGCTGTAAAAGTAGATGTTCAGAAAGCAGAAGTTTAGTTTATGTTCCCTTAACAAACGTTTATTATTTACAAATTTATTATTTATGCAATGATTATTTTTCATATTTTCAAACTTCAACACTCTTTATTAAGTCAAGCTTCCCATTATAAAACAACTTATATCCAAAAGTTGCTTATGTAATGATAATACAAAAATTTTTGATTCATTTTCATGCCATGCCGGCTTTCACGTGCTTTGAACAAATTTTCCATTAAAACATTGCGTGAAAAATTTAATTGATATAATTAACTATTGACATCTAAATTATATGAACGTGTTAAAAAAAATAGTTTTACATGTCACTCATAGCATGACAGCAAATGTATTAAAAGCTGAAAGCACAATAGTTTTTGTTTCAAAAATAATATTAAATTACATTTCATTATCAGTCATCTTAAGATAATAAGACATGTGATCAATATAATTAATATTATATCCATTAGCTATTCTACAATGAAAACATGTTAACAAATATTATATGAAAGTATAATTACCTTTAATTTATTTAATCAAAATTATCACTTTTGTAAATTAATTCAGTGTTGCCTTATGATGAAGATGCGTTCAGAAAGTAGTTTTGGGCATATTTTTCAAATATATTATAACCGTTACGATTTATTTATCTCTTTATGTTTTAGTGTTTTAGATATCTGATATATGGAAATTGTTGACTTTATTAGATAGAATTGAAGGTGAAAGCTTGTTGCTGGAAAGCTTTCAAGACTTATCTTTTCATCAATTTTATGAGCTTGATCCATTTGAGATTTTGGGATCTCCAGTTAAATTTACAGATGGACCTTCATCGTCAACACTTTCCTTCGAAGCATCAATTCCAGTGTGTTTCAGAATTTTCATAGTTCTCGCAAAATTAATTGACTTTGTAGGAGATGAAAGCTTATGAATTTTCGTGTAACCATGTGCATCTTTTAATAATTCACAAAGGAATTTCCTTCCTTCTATTAAATCTGGTTCCTTACTAAACATCCTTATTAAATACCTATGACTATATTCATAGACATGATAATATAGATAAAATAAATGTATAATAGAGAAAGCCTGCGTAATTTCAAAGTCTTAAATTTTCTGAAAACAACAGCTGTATATATAAGAAGTATTTTTTTCTGTCATTATTTAAACAGCACATACAACGAAATTAATAACCAATAACTTATATCAGTATGAAACTTTATTTCATCTAAGTTGGTCATATATTTTCCATCAATTTAAAGGATGACGATAGAAAGATTTTTTGCTTACATTGGCATTATAATGAGTAAGTTGTCAATGCAGTTATCAATTATATAATAATTACGGATAATTTAAACAATTTTTAGTTCTTTCATTTTCTATGTCAATGGGAGGTAAGGAGATATTTTATTATTTCCATATTTAGTCTTGGGAAATTTTTAATGGAGAACTGATGAATTTTTTTAACGTCTCTTTAGGTAAATGTGGTCCAAATGAACATTTTGAAGTCTGCGGTCCAGATTGTGGAGATTTAACATGCGAAATTCCGACTTATGATTTAAAATCATGCTCAACTAATTGTTCATCTCAATGTTTCTGTAACGGAGGTTTTGTCAGAAACAGTGAAAATGTTTGTATACCTAAAGATGACTGTCGAAGTGAGCTTTATTGTTAAAGTTAAGTTTTTTTCATTAAAATTTTTTTTTTCTGTGATTTAGGAGTTCCTTGTGGTCCCAATGAAATACGTTTTTGGTATGGTCCTGATAGGTGTGAAGCAACATGTCAACAACCTGCTCCATCTATTTGTTTCACAAAGGATATCTTGATTAAATGTATTTGTGAAGAAGGATTTATAAGAGATAATGAATTTCAAAGAAATTGTATTCCTATAGACTCGTGTTCCTCAGGTTGAACTTTTAAAATTTTAAAGCTGTTTGACATTTGATTTTTGTTCATTGACAATTTAATTTCTTTAATCAGAAACATGTGAAGGAGAAAATGAATTTTACAACACATGTGGATCAGCTTGTGGTGATCTTACTTGCAATAATTATAATAATCACTCGATATGTGATAGAGAAAAATGTACATCAGGTGGTTACTGTATTAGCGACTACGTAAGAAATGATCAGAATGTTTGTGTGCCAAGAGACAAATGCCCAAGTGAGTGAAAATCATAAAATAAAAGTTTGTAACAAATATAAATTTCTATTATTCCTTAGTCATATGTGGTCCTAATGAAGAATTACTTCCCAATGCACCAGCTGATAAGTGTGAACCGACGTGTCAACAAATTAATGTACCTCAATGTTTAGACTCATCAGTTATTGATAAATGTGTGTGCAAAGAAGGATTTGTTAGAGCTACCAAGTTTGACAGGAATTGTGTTCCTATAAGTTTATGTCCATGTAAGAATGATATAACTAAAAGTTAAATAATTATGAATACAAAACCGTCGTGTCTTTGTCAGTGATTTGTAAGGATAATGAGATTTTTACACGATGTGGCTCAAGTTGCGGCGATCTAACATGCGATGTACCAAATCAAAGTGAAATGTCTTGCAATGAAACTTGTGTCGAAGGATGCTTCTGTAGTCCAGGATATGTTAGAGATTCAGATGGAAAATGCATTCAATGCCAAGATTGTAAAACTGGTCCATGTAAGAATATGAAATTAATTTTTGGACATTTCACTAATATTTTCGTAAAAAATTTCCATTTAGGTTCTTGCGGGGAAAATGAACATTTTATATCTTGTGGCACTATATGTTCTGATTCCTGCGACCTTCATGGTTTACCAAGAACTTGCATAGACACCTGTGTGAATAAATGTTTTTGTAAAGAAGGATTTTCAAGGGATCGCAATGGCAACTGCATTCCTGAACATGAGTGTCCGAATTGTGAGTAGATTAGCAAAACCTTATCAACATTTTCCCAACTAATTGTTCTATATTTTCTTTTTTATGCATCATTCAAGATTTTCTTGATAAAGCATGTGGTAGTAATGAAGAATTACTTCTCGTTGGACCAGCTGATGAATGTGAACCAACATGTCAAAAACTTATTGTTACTGAATGTTCCAATTCCGGTGTTATGAATAAATGCGTGTGCAAAGAAGGATTTGTTAGAGATAATAACTTTGATAGAAATTGTGTTCCCATAGACACATGTCCATGTAAACTAAAATGAAATTTATGCTTACTTCAAACATAAAATGAGTTTTTGTTTTTTTCAGCGACTTGTAAGGCTTTCGAAACATTCACCGAATCTGGGTCTGGTTGTGGTGATTTAACTTGTGAAATTACAACTTTAGAAAGATCACCTTGTCTTAAATACAAACAGAAAGGATGCTTGTGTAATGCAGGCTATTTTAGAAATTCAGACGGGATATGCACTCCTTGCAGTGAATGCAAAAATGGAAGATGTAAGAACATTTTAATTCATCATAAAAATTTGAATTATCGTTTTCTTAACATCATAAAGGTTCTTGTGGACGAAATGAAATTTACACTTTATGTGGCAGTGCTTGTCCTAAAACATGTGAAACACTTGGAAAGAAAAATAATTGCACAGAGCAATGCATTGAAGGATGTTTCTGTGACAAAGGATTTGTCAGAGGTCCGTATGGAAATTGCATAAGAAAGAGGAAATGTCCGCAAAGTAAATTGTTGTTGAACATTCAAAGCAAACTAAATTTAATCTTTTCGCACTTTCCTAGTTGAATGCGGTCAAAATGAACATTACGAAAGATGTGGTAGATATTTAGATGATTTGAAATGCGAAGAGAGACAATCCATTAATATTAAAATTTCTCCACCACGAAAATGCAATCCAAAATGCTATTGTGATGAAGGTTTTTACAGGAATGATGAAGGAGTTTGTATTCCCTGGAGTGAATGTCCAAGTAATGTTTAATTTCCAATATTTATGTGTTAGTGATTTTTAATTAATTGAATTTCTCAGACGCTTGTGGACCAAATCAAGAACTTTATTTTCCATATACTCCGTGCGAAGGAACATGTTTAGAACCATTTAGAACTGATTGCGATAAAATTGGTTCTACAGATAAATGTGTTTGCATAGAAGGATATGTCAGAGACAACCATGTCGATAAAAATTGTATCCCTTTGTCTTTTTGTCCACAGAGAAAGGGGGCTAGCCTTTTAAATTTCGAACTATTTGGCAAGCTTCCATATTTTCAGGAAATCATTAGCTCTAATAACCTCCAACACGTAGTTGAATTATTTGAAAATGCAAAATTAGTGACTATGAATAGGTCAGAAAAAACTCCTATTAATATATTCGTACCCAAACCTAATGATACATTGCATAATTTATCGTATTATGTGTCGAACTATAATGCAACGTATAATGTATCAAAAGCGTATTTTGATGAATTAACATCTGAATTTAAACCTTTTTAACAAAAATTAAAAAAGCAATAAAGAAAAGGAAAAATTATTTCTAAGTTCTTTTATTTTGGTGAATTTACCTAATTCAGTGTAGTCTTGTGATGACGCTAAATTTTTCTTTCCTTTACTAAAAATAGGATTGAAGGTGAAACCTTACAAATAGATAATCTCTTTGAAATCTTCAAAAAACTTTATTCAGATATTGCTTTGTATTGAATTAAATTACAATTTTATTATAAAACATACAAATCTAAATCCTTTAGATATATTTAATTTAAGTGACTAAAACTCATGCATGTCATGTTCAGTATAACTATCTAGTACAAGAACATAGTATTAAATAAATTCTATTTAAAATAATCTTTAATGTTTGCCTTTAAAAGTAGACATTGGAGGTGGGGAAGGAAAAATTGGGACATTTGATGGAAATAAAATGTAATGTTCAATATCGATGGGTGTTCCATTCTGACTTGTTGTTGGAAAGCTTTGAAGACTTGCCTTGTCTTCAATTGTTGGAGTAGATGAAGGAGTTGAAATAGGACGTGGTGCTGGTGGTATGAGATAATTATCCATGACCAGACTTCCCGGCTGGCCTACTCGAAGACTATGCTGATGATTACGACGATCTTCATGATCTGAATGCGTTCCACTATCACCCAAACTACTATTTGTGCTCATTCGTCCCGATGAGTTGCTTGATGCCAAACTAAGAGTGCTATTGGGACGATTTGAGCTTGATCCATTTGAGAATTTGGGATCTCCAGTTAAATTTACTGGAAGAATTTCTGAGCAATCTTTATCATGCTTGCGTGTGAAAATTCTTTTCATTCTTTCGAAAGGCGATGGACGTTTGAGATTATCTTTGATCATTTGCTGAATTCTTTCGTATTCTTCACGCATGTTCTGCAATTGTTCTTGCTTTTCTTTAAAACTTTTCTTTACGTCATTTCTATTTTTCCAAGACGACACAAGCTCTTCAACTTCTTGAATGGTGAAAACTTTATTTTTAAAGTCATTAATAATTTCTACGAGTTCATCGTCAACACTTTTCTTCGAAGCGTCACTTCCAGTGCGTTTCAAGCTTTTCAAAGTACTCGTCGACTTAATTGACTTTGTAGGAGATGCAAGCTCATGAATTTTCGTGTAACCATGTGCATCTTCACTAATGGAATCAGATTTTTTCTTAAAATAAAGGCGAAGATGTGAAGCTTCACGTTTTGTTTGAAGATTGTTGCATGTTGCAGTTTGATTCATGTAGTCATGAGTAATTGAGTCAACAACTGACTCAAGTGGTTTGTTTGATGGATGCGTCATATAGTCACCGAATGCATTTGTGACGGGACGATTCGATGGTTGAATGAGATAATCGCTTGACTGCAATGACAGCTGATTATCACTAGATGATGATGGAACAGAAACAGTCGATGGTGAAAGTGAAGAAGTTTCAGTTTGTGAAGTATTTTCAAGCACATCAGAACATTCGTTACTAAAGTCATCAGCAGCTTGTGCGACTTTGTTTTGAGAATTCGAATCGTAATAATTATCTTCTGTTATCTTAAGTTCGTTTGTTATTTCCTTTTCATCTTCTTCCTTTATCTTCATGTCGTTGAGATTGTTGAGCAAATCCTTTGAATCTCGTTTCTTCATGATTTGCATTTCAATCATCGGCCCAGCACAATCAACAGTGTCAAAAGTTTCCACATCTGAGAGATCATTGTCAATGTTTAAATAGTTAATATTAGTAACTGCACTTCCAATGTCACTAATCTCATTATTGTTATTGTCACTTCCATTGCTACTCTTCATCTCAAGATAATGTGGTGGATAAGAATCGTTTGTGAATTCTTCTGTCGGTGGAAGTTGATCGCCTTTCAAATCAATGACAGCTTTTTCTGGCGATGTTTTCGAGAACTCTTTGAAATAATGATACATCGTAGTGAATTCATTCATTTTCTAGAAATTATTAAAAAAGAAAAATGTTAGGAGAAATACAAATTTTCATAAATTTCTGTCTCACCGAAAAGTTTTTGAAACTGCTTGCTAATTTAAGATGATCGTGCAGTTCAGCGATGTCTGCTGGTGTCTTCCCAGAAACATTTTTAATCTCGCATGCCATTTCAGCACCGGGACATTCGAGAAGAAGTAATCCAAGACGTTCCAATCCCCATCTTGCTGCAAAGTGCATTAATGTTGGATATTCTTCCGGGCTCGCTTCCTTGTGCAATCTCATACCATTTGAGGACTCAAATTGAGTAGCGAGAAGATGGAAATCTGGTGGAATATTCTTCTGAAATAATTGCACCATATGAAGATCTAATTTCTCATGATCAGCTGTAGATATTCCAAGTGCTTGACACATGAATTCCATTGGAGCGTCAACATTTTTAAGAATCTGTTCAAGTTCACGCAATCGACTTTCGCATTTTATGGGTCGCACGCCGAGATCAACGTTGTTCTTGAACACACGAACACCGATCATCATTGAAATTTCCATACATGAATCGGGGACATTAAAGTGAATTGTGTAAGGATTTCGTCTCTTGATGTTATTAACTTCGATTGTATGGCCAATTTTTTCTATTCTTATCTTGATATAATCGTCCTTAAGAATTGGTTCAGTCATCATTACTGTTGCCTTTGTCTGACCAATTCTCATCTTTCTTGGAATCACTGTGAAGTTATCGTGATTCTTACCAGCAACTGCTGTTGATGATGGGCCATGTTTAGCATAATTAAATGATGAAACTTCATTTGCCATTGGACGTTGACGTAAAGCTCTGCCGAGAATGTCTTGTGCGATGCCCAAAAGACCACTCACAAAAGATTGATCTTGATCGCGAACCACACACTTACGCCATTTGTTATATGATGGAAGCACTAATAGAAGAAAGGAAAATTGATTAATCATAATGAATAAATAATGAATCATTGCTGATAATGTTCTTACTTTCACGATGAATGTCCATCAATTGAACTTCCTTGACGTCTAAGAGAAGTCCAATAGTACGATCTGCTTTAATTATATGTGACAGCTTCTTTTTGACATAAACATGGTCGAGATTAATTAACAGCGGACAAATGATGACAATTTGTAGCTTTGTCGTTTGACATCGTTGAATGAGGTCGCTATCAAGCTTATCATCGTCGATTTTAATATGAAGAAAACTAATAATAATAAGAATATACAAACAGTTAATTAATTACATATGTTTGCTTCCGATATTCGAAAAAGGAAGGCTGAAGATGTCGTTAAACTTACTTAAAAGACATTCGGCCGCGTTGTTTTGTAATCTTATCAAAACATGCTTTCAAATAGTTGACCCATAAAATGCCAAGTTCACTTTGTTTCGTCGTCACTATTAGAATATCGTCCATCGTCGCACACATTGCGGCGTTCAACGTCGGCTGGTCTGTAAGAGAATGAACATGAAAATATTTTTTAAATTCATCTAAAGAGTCGAAATAATTTTTTTCTTCTTACAGAACGAGAGAATTAATAATCGTAAAATGTAAATAATTTGCGCTAATATTTTTAACGCTATGCCATTAAGTATCAAGGCAAAAAATAAAATTCACAACATGTGAATCAGTCAAGAGATAATTTAGTTATCAACATAAATTATTATGTAAATATTTTGAATTATTTTTCATTCTAATTCCAACATTCCTGCCCCAGTCTCTGATAGATTACGAAATTGACTTCGTTAAGTTCCGGAAGGAAGAATGAACACTTGATGATCGATTTTCTTCTACATTTCCATCTTTAAAATTAAACAATGAGAAAATTTTGGAAATGAATCCGGAAAAGTTTATGTTGCACCAAGTAATTATGCCAAACGGAAACATGAGAAACAATGTTATGATTCGACGGTGGAAATCCGAGAAGGAAAATGTTAAATAACTCGACTCTAATTTGTAAAAGATCAACTCGTAAAATAAATACAAAACATTAAAGAAATGATGTTGATGAGTGTTTTGTGTCAGAAATATTTAATATTTAACTGCACCGGAATTATCTCGTCACATCCAGATGCATTTATGTCGAACTCTCATCAAAATAAATTTCCAATTACTTAAAAATTCCATCCCACTTAAGATTAACTGATTCTTAATTTACAATGCGCGAGTCAAAGCTCGAACAAAATGCGTGCTATTAAAGTTTGGAAAAATCATCATAAAAATCATTTCGAACATCATAAAACATTGATGAAAATAGAAACTACATGATATTTCCGACACTGTGGAGTGCTAGGCTTCTGTAAATGTTCCACCCTCTATTTATTGCTTTCCATTGCTATGAAATTCTATGCGCTCTAAACCAATTGCGTGGTATTCATTACATTCCTCTTGCCTACTGTTTCCAAAATGTCAATCAGCGAAAGAATAAGAACTTCCGGTACCAAAGAAGTTGTTTATGTTGTTAAAGAAGTATTTTCACAGTTAACAAATGCTATAAAAGGTGATGTACCAAAAATGGAATGGCCATGTCATTGCATGCTTAATTGCCAACAATTTCCTTAAATGATTACTTCAAATAATAAACGACATTGCACTAATATAATTTTATATTCATTTGTTCAACTCAACTTCTTACGATCTGGAAAAACATGAAACATTCTTAAAGAAATGCACGTGAATGGAAAATTTAATTCTTTTGTTGTTGCCACTTGAACTTTCCATTTTAGAATCTCTTTTTAAGTGAGATACGATGCACTTCAAACGACGCTACTATTTTAGTTCTCATTTCTAAAAACATTGGAAATTAACTCTTTCATTAAAATAAATTCAACGGAATCTTTATCAAGTATGCACTTCCTCTTTCTCTCTCACTGCATTGAAGTTCATCAGTTGAAAAATCACATGTTTAATGAAAGTAATTGCCTTGACTTTAATAAATTTCATTGCTGATCGTATGCATTGCGTTAAAATGTTTGTTAATTAAAGAGGAACGACAAACATTTCATGTTTTCATGATGTTGTTGATGCATTCACGTTGTCAAATCGTGATCACTTGCATGTACAATTTATGCTACATAGCATTCGCCTTTATAGTTAGCGACCGGAAATTGATTGTTCCTCTTTAGAAAGAATGAATTTTCAGAAGGGAACTTAAAAGAGATATTTAATTGTTTAAAGTTCTTTCTCCTTTCGTTCATCATGCACGTGCGACATGATATTAGAATATCAAAACAGTATGAAACATGCTTGAAAGGATTTATATTACATTTTAAGTTTTAAGACAAATTATGGAAGAGTTTCACGTTTCATATCTTCTTAACAGTAGAAAGATTAAGATTCTCAATATTCTAGAAGGAAAAATCGTCTGGAAAAGTTCTACTAAGAATCATCATCATTTATCATTTCAATTAACTTTCCAGCCTTCTTTGATGCACCTGATGTTTACCCAGACGCAGTCATAAAATGCAGTCATAAACCAAAGAGAAAAAAATGTAAAAAACGACTAAATCATCAACATGTCGAGCGCGAGTTTTTTTTCTTTCACTCTCGTAATAAACAAATGAAGTTTCAAAAATAAAAACACATTTTTGGCTTTGTATAAAAAAAATTGTTTAAATGTTTTTTCAGTTCATTCATTCATGACTTTTTAGCATCATAAACAGTAGAACTGGAAGGTACTATGTGGATGTTTTATTCTTCTCCTTGCGCTTAGCAACGATTTCTGTCGTGCACATGCTTCTAATCCAAATACACTTTACAACGGAAAGAAACTCAGTGTCGATGAGGGTAAACAATGATTTAAAGCTGTCGTAACGCCATTGTTCTAGCTTTCTAGAGTACATGGTCATTGCTTGCACAATGAGATGTCCTCCTACACGGCACGTCAAGGAAAATATGTTTGAAAAGTGACCTGAATGCCAAAACTGACTTGAGTTATGAATTGTTTTAAAATAATTTCATCTGGCACGATTTATTTCCTTTTGCTGGCTTAGTCGACCCTTAAACTCATCTGATCTCCAGCATATGTTAAATATTTTGTTGTTTTTTTTTTGCTAACATTTTAATTTATTTCTTTCTTGATTATTCAAACTTCTTCTATCTCTTCTAATTCCTTCCCTCTGGTTCTTCATTTCAATGTCTGTTGACAATGTTTCGTTAATGATTTTGTTAAACTGTCGCATTGATATCCGCTCAAAGGAGGGATTTTCGACTTTCATTACTCATCCCCTTATGATGACATCACGTTTGGAAAAATGTGTTGGAAAATCAGCCAGCGAAATGTAAACATTATTATTAAACTAATAGGAAATTCCAATAATGAGGTAAAAGAACTCGTTAAACGTCTATAACCATATAAATAATTGCTACAAAATAGTTTGCAATTTACTCACGCAATTTTGTTTAAATAAATATTTTCAGAAAATTTAAAGATGAATGAAAAACAGAAAACGAAGAAATCTTTCACTTAATTCTGTTAACTTTATTAACTTTACCAGACACCGAAACGTCTTCTTTGTGACCTTTTTTATGTTCTACAAACTGAGTTGAGTTATAAATTTTCATCATTGATGCATTCAAATATTTTGGCCACTGACATTAGAGATGATACTTGAGAGTGGATCCTTAAGTATGTCTTCGTGTTATCTGATGCTTTTTGCGGTAGATTTTAAAAGGAACATTTCAAGGAATTTTTGTGAGAAATTCTCAAGAATTAAGCTAAGAATGAAAGTGTTTCAGTTATGAAAGAAGCGCGGATCACTTCAAAGTTGCTGTAATCATTCGTAAGCACAAATTGATATTGCGACAAAAAGCAATAAATCATAAATTGTTTTGACATTGAATATTTCAACTCTTTTATGCTGTTTGAGTCTTTTATTCATCTCATAAATGAGTTTAATCCGTTTCCTTTTCAAACGTAGACACAAACTAATTTTTTATGTTAAAACGGGTTAAAATTCTAAGAATGAAATTTTAACCCTCTTAAGGGAAACGGGGAAACGGGAAGAAAGCATCTCTAAGATGATAAATTCCATACCTGATTCACAGTCACTGCCTGAATCCATCCTTTACAGCACAATTAACTTTTCTCAATGTCTCAATTAGCAAAACTAAAAACTTTTCCCTTCGCTATTTTTTAATAAGACATCTGGGAATGATTCAAGTCTCTCGAAAAGAAGAAAAAAATCGTTTTCGATCTTCTTGAACTTTTAAATTGTTTGTCTGGCACAAATTCATTCAATTTAATCGCGAGATTGTTGACTGAATCAATTTAGAAGAAATGAACTAAAAGATAAATCTTCAGGTACTTCAAGATCGTATTTTTCACTAATTAATTGCTATTTAATGTTATTCAATGTGATGTCTAAAGCACAAATAATTTCTTTTCTGAGAATTATTCCTTTCACATCACACAGAAGCGACTTCGCTTGTGATAATGAAAAAGCAACTTCGGGACTTTGTTTTTAGCTTTCAGCGACATTTACTCGTAAAGTGTCAAATGCGTTTGTGTAAGCGTTGTCAAACACATTCGATTGAGTGCTGTCATTTGTATTCAAATATGATCGTAGAAGAAAAGAGACAAGAGAAAAGTGTTTAGAATTTTTTTTTCGTCTTTCCTCGGTTGGGAGCCGCGTTTTGATTAAGTCTTACAGTGTGAGCATAAATAATAATGTTTCGAAAAGTCGAAAAAACAGCAGTCTTCCTGTAAACTATCAATGTACGCTGAAGTTACGATGAATAAGAAATGTTCTTTGAAGTTTAATGTTTATCAAATTGAATTTGAGAGTTTTAAGAACTTGATAAATAATTTATGAAATCTTCAAGATATTTCAAGGAAAAACTAAATTATTAGCCTTGCGATGAAAATAATTTTAGAAAATTCAAAATAACTGCACTTGGAAATTTTACGAGTTAATGAAATGAATAAAAAGATATCAAAAATTATTTAAATGTGATGGCAAAGAAGAAATCAAAATTTGTTTTTATTTCTTCTAGTTGAAATTCTTTAAAAGGATCTAAGAATAAATCGATAGATAAAGACACTAAAAACAAACATAGAGAGCCGTTAAGGCACTTGATCATGAATTAAACATTAATAAAACGAATCAAAATGGTGAAAGATTAAGGCATAAATAAATCTCTAAATGGGCAGTTTAAAGGAAGCACCAAGAACGTGAACATTTTTCTTAATGACTTTTACAATTCATTTCATAACCGGCAGATGAATGTAAAGTGGTGGACAATTCGATCAAGATGTAAACGAGCCTAAACCTATAAATTTTATTATTCGATATGATTTTCGACTTTGCAATAAAATATTTTGTTGTTAATCCTCATAAATCGTGTTAAGTCGATCGACGATCATTCGAATCCAAAAAATGCCATCTAATCACGTTTTATGTTACGATAGGCGCCAATAACAAAACTTTGTAAACATTTTGTTTATTTATAATTGCAGTAATTGCAATAAACATTAATATGTAAAACATGATGAATTCATTACTTCAACGCTACAATTGAAAACAAATGAATTTTGTAAGTTGACATCGGAAATTGACGTTCACCGACTTGAACATTTCTCTTCTTTATTTATTGTCATGCATCAAATCGCTTCATGACATGTTCTGACTTCGTAATTGCCAAGAATGGAAATTTTTTTCACTCGTTATTTAATATTCGTCGCGGTATTCTGTTTTCTCTTGTTTCAAGGTTATAATGTTTGTTTGTATCACGCGCATAATTCTTTGCAAATGTTCCGAAAACCCCAATTGAAAAATCACACAATTGATCATCATTGTTCATGTTTACATTTTTACTTCGTCTTATTTATGAATGAATTGTGTTGCGATGCTACTTATGCGATGCACACAACAAAAATGAAAAATGATTCTTTCGAAAGAGAAGCACAAGTAAATACAATAATTTAAGCATCTTTTCTCCAATTCGTTTGAGAGATTAAGAAAGGAAGCTTTTGATTGTCTTCAATTGGAATTAATTTCGTCAAGCGTGCAACTACATCGGTGATAAAACGATCATCTTTTCTCTGATGATTGTTTTACTTAAATTTTCATGAATGAAAGTTAAACTTTATGAAAAGTTGACTCACCTCGACTCGTTCTTCTGAATTGTGATGGTGCTTTCGGTGCAATCTCCAACGGTGCTTCGTCGATGAAGCTTGTCGTGCAGATTTTGTCTTTGTTTGCAAATGTTCCAACTGAATGACGTCGTGCTTGTGCTGATCCATCAACAGTGGAATTGGAGTTGTGTGATAAACTGTAAAATTTATGATCACTGTTAGGGATTAAAGAAGAATTAAGATGTGAATTAGTGTAAAAGTAGATTTAATAATAAATTCACCTCGATTTTGTGTAGAACACATCGTCAGTATCGTTGTTATGAGATTCACTGTAAGTTTCGAGCCGCGAGTGGAAACTTGATTGGTTCGTAGGTGTCATCTGTGCATTCCTACACGTAGGCAAAGTCTTCGCCTCCTATAAAAAATTCATGAAAACGTCAACGAATAGAAGAAAATTAAGATCTTCTCTTACCTTTGGATTATTTATCGTTGTACTGTTGCTTCGCGAACGCCATAAATTCTTCAAACTTCCACGTCGTTTTGATTCAACGTTGTTGTATTTTCCAATCGTTGACGGTGGTGATTGTTTATTGGAGCTCGACAAACGTTTACGGAATGTGAAAATTCCACTACTGCGACTCTCGGCTGGTGATGCGAGTCCAGTTTCGACATCGAAATAGTTGGGATTGTCTGGTGATGTGTGACGAATAAAAACATGTGTAGTGTTAAACATACAATAAATTCAACTAATTTTATTGTTTTTATCGTTTTGGGTATCGCGGTCACGAAGTGTGTTGAAGTCGTTGGGAGAGATTATCGCATGTCTCGCTTATGCTACCTGATTACGAAAAAATTTACGACTCTATGAAACATGAGACATTCTTAAGACATTTTCCTTGGTTTTTAATATAATGAAGCGCCGCAACGGATTGATTCTTCGGAGAAACAGTAGCGACTTACTCTCAAATGTTATTTGAGCAAGAATTATTGCTTTTCAAATCGAAAACGGGCGTAGTTTCTTCAACCATTTTCATTTTGTTTTCTTGAGAAGCGCAAATGTTAAAGGGAACGCATTTTATTTATACGATCTTAGGTGTAAATGATCTGTTACTGCTACATAGAGAAGCATAAGCAATACATTTTATGCTTTGCAATTTTATGTCTTACATCTGTTTCCAACAATTCCGAAAGCATAATTTTATGATCGCAAAAAAAAAGTTATGATTTTTATCGTTTTATAGAACACTCAAAAGATGATAAAAAGAGTTTAAATGTAATAAAAAGTTGTATGAAATCTCCCACTTCACTAAGGCACGAATTGTGACCGTCGTATGTTTTATATCAAGTGACGCAGTTTAGTTTAATGCAAAAGGAATTTTTACCTGTTTGGATAACGTTATTGTTTTCATACCGACAATCGTATTCGATATCTTCGCAACGGCTCCAATCCATTGTTTACAATATTACACAATCAGTCGTTTTATGAGTTATTCTTCAATTTGTTTAATCAACACTTTGTTCAACCAGGAAATTTACTTCGATCATATGATATTCCACACTAATTTCTCATGATAATTGAACTGTTGTTGTTACTTTACTCGCGTCAATCTCAATTAAATCTCCTGAAATTGATAAACGTTTCTATGGTCTGAAATCTCACGAGCATTCAATCAACTCCCGCATTATCATCACCACGATGACAATTTGAAATCAAAATAACTGAATCACTAGATTAGATTAGACACGGTCTAACCAACCAATGGACATTAATAATTTCAAACTCGAAAATTTCTTCTTGTTCACAGTGAGAAACGAGCACGCATCTAACTTTGTCGAGCCCTACACTTTAACTGAATTCGTGTTTTGTTCTCTAAAGTGGAAAAATGCACAATTCAGTCTCCTTCTCAGTACAAATTATTTTACGACTGTATACTTGTGGGTGTATTGAGGAAAAAGAATGAACATTATGGTCTATGGTGAAATGAAACGATTTTGTGGAGAAAGAAAAACATGAAACAAATACAAATGTATGTTGGATGGAGAAGCGCATAATAAGGGCCCTATGTGAAGCACATGTGGAATTGATTTTACTTAATTTGAATGTAGATATCTTTTTGTGTTGCGATAATGCGGGATTTGTTTCGCAACTGATTTCTTATTGAAGAATAATCTTCAATCAGATGATAAGGGTTCAGAAAACTTACTACAAATGGAATGTTTCGATAACCCTTAGCTTCAACAACATTGATTGCTGTCCAAGTTCACAATATTCTACTGCAATCTCACCGTAATTATATAATTCTTTTATTTTCCTAAGACGATCATTTATCTTGTCTAATGCACTTGATTCCTTTCAATCATTTCATTCACAAAAGTTCATGTAAGTGTAAGTGACATTCGAAAATGTTTCATTCATAAAATCTTCGTTTGCTGAAAAGATTCACTTCGTCTGAAGCATCTGTGTTGATTTTTGCAATAATTTTAGTCATTTTAAATATAGTTTATGCTTATTTTTGTGCTTAGACGATTTTTCTCTTTTCTTTTTCTTCCTTCTTGTCTCTTTTAGCGATGTTTTCGTGTGATAGAAACTGTTGAATAAAGTAAATATCATCAACAGAAAAAATCATTGAAATCTCTAAAGGAAATGGCATGAGTACAAGAGTAGCATAATTAAACGTAAAAAGAGAAGCTCATCTAATCAAAATACCAAAAATTTCTCTTATTATTCCGAAGAAGTTTCGTATTTTGGTAACCGATGAGAACCACATAAATAATTAAAGGAATTTCTCATAATCGATCAAGACTTTCAATTTAAATTCCGATTAGAAAAATGTTCTCAAGCTCTTCTGTTTGAGAAAATATCAATAAATCAAATCTTAAATACTTGTTTTAAATATTCAATGGAGAAATGTTTTCAACATTTGCTAGTCAAAAGATTGGTTTAAGAAAGTGAAAGTCAGTTTTCGCACAACTTCACTTAAGAATTCTGAAAGCAAAACGAAATTTTAATTGTGCGTCACAAATATTATTTATTTTTATCATCTGAAACAATCTACGGAAGCTTCTAATAAACATGCATACAAGAGAATGAACTATTTAGATAGTTCTCGATGTCGTTCTTGTTAATTAAACATTAACAAACACATAACATAACTCGATAATGTTTCTTTAAATGAAATATTTACATTAAATTATGTTTTCTGAAACAAACAACGAGACGATATTAACTTGCAGCATCATTTGTAGTTTAACTCGAGACCTACGTCAAAGTTAGCTTCTTTGGGCATTCATTTCTTTCTTTCCACAAATAAATAAAAATCATTTTTTAATTGATCTGCATTGCCGTCAGAATTTCTGACTAATTAAAAAGCGTGTAAAGCTATGACATTGAAATATTTTTTAAAATAACGCCACTTGAGAGAATCACGAAAAGTTTTCTGTTTATCGCAAACATTTTACGCTCGTTTTGTCGTCTCAGAAATATTTTACGACAGCTCGTATAGCAAACATAATCGAAGGCTAAAATGATCATAACAAATGTCACACGAATGCGATGTGACCGAGACTTTTTGGGCAAACAAATACAATCGATTATGAGCCACTTGAGATGAGAGAAAGCTATCGAGAATGTTGTCATAAATTTATCTTCAAATGGGGAAGTAAAAACTTTGACTTCTCGTTTAGGTAAAAAAATCATTATTTTTGTTGACTTACTGGAACTGCCCAAAAAAAAACGATAAAAGAGCAAAGAAAAGATAAAAATCTGTTTAGCAGATGTGACGAGGGATCATCAAATGCAGTTGTGATGGATATGCAACGGAATTATCATGACAATATATTTAAAATGTTGCACCATTCAATGCGCCTTAAATAATATTTTGATCGTGTTTTTATGCTTCATAAACCCCTACGATCAACCTGATATGTGTTTTAATATTTATTTACATTTGTAGATATCCCAAAATTTTATGTGATTATGTTTACAATGATAACTGTCAAGATCTATCAACAACTTTATAATGGCACGCGCTAAAGTTGTAAAAAAACTTTAAAAATTCACACTTCATCAAACGACTTTAGAAGGAAGAAAAGTCAATCAAAAACTCACCTAATGAATACCGGAACCATTGCATGATGACTTAAATTACTTTTAACTGTACACCAGGAAACCGGAACTCAAAGTTAATAATTTTTCTTCTTTCTTTCTTTATTTTTTATCCCGTCAAGTTCCACAAAATTCTTTCATCACCAACAACGCCACAGATTTTCTATTGTTTATTTTAACTTTGAAATTCTTCTTTTGAAATGTTTTGTTTCATAAAAACATAATGTTTCCTGCAGTTAGATTCATTAGATTCATTCAACACCATCAGAATCCTCGAAAATGTAATAAAATTAATTTAAATCCTTTTCCTTCTTAGGATCACATCACATAATGCGATGAATATAAAATCGTCAAATGAATTTAAATCAATTTCCCAACCACTTTCTTTACTTTCATAAATTTCTCTCATAATAAGTTAAACAGTAGGAAATGGAAGTAATGCCTCAACGGAATCATAAAAGTTTACGGCTCAATTCAAATTCCGTTTCACATCAATTGATGGAACGTCTAAAAGTTTAAAATGAAGTGAAGAAGTGCGTTCTTCATGAAAGATTTTTATTTTCTAATTGAATGTTCATAAGAAAGAAGACTTCGATGTTTATACACTGGCACGCTCTTCCGTTTCTTAACATTTCGACTATTATTTTTATTAATATTACAATTGTTGACGTAAGGAGGAGAAATTAAAATAAAAAAGTGTCTAATATCCGAACGAATTTTATTGAAATGAGCAACAATCAAAAAATAAACGATTTTCCTTTTGAACATTTCCAAAGAATTTCTCTATGAAAATAAACATTCGCGTGATTTTACACTCGTAAAATAAGGTCAGACGATCGAATTTTCTTTTCACTTTTTCTTTTGTTTTCTTAAAATTTAGATTTGAATTTTCAGCTGTTCATTGGATTTCCATTAAATTTCAAGCTGATTAGGTAAAATTATGTCAGATATTTTCATGAAATTCAGTTTTCGTACACCAACCTGTCTTAAAACAGTCAAACTTAAATATTCATCAAATGTTTGAAAAGGCAAATGAACTCTCATAAGTAGTTGCACGTAAGTATTTAATGTCTGTCGAAAGAAAACGTAATAAAACTTATTCATATTCAGATATTCTTATACAAATGATATCATAACAGCCTAGACACAAATATGATTGAAATGCCATTAAAGAATTTTCGAAAACACGAACATTTGATCAAATCACTCAATTATTAATTCTTAAATAGAATAGTGACGTCATACAAAAATATTTTCGTATCGTTTTCTTTCCATCCTTAAAGAATTCGACCACAAAAATTTATTCAAATTCACTTAAATGCTGCTAATCATCACCATTAAGGTATATAAAGGTTATCACTTCTCTGAAATATAAATCACATTTCTTATCACGCACCTCTCTCAAAACAAACGCGATCGCTTTGTAGCGAAGAAATTTTCTTTTTGAGTTAAGAGAAAATTCAATCACGCAGAGAAGTTAGAGACAATAAGGAAAAGAACACAGACACGATTTTTTTCTCTTTAGTAAAGTATTTGATTGGAAAATCCGCTTGTATTTTGTATCAGTGATAGAGTGTAGTGGAGATTTTGTAAAGAAAAAATAATTTTAACTCTGAAAAACGATTTGTACATAGTATTCCGTCTCTTTTCACTAACCGACTGAATCATGTGTAAATTTGAACGTTTTCATTCTTCCAAAGGTGCGTTGAATATTCGGCTTAGAATCGGACAACGATTTAAATCATTGTCGCTTTGGTGATCGCAATAATTAATTAAGTTGTCTAATCTACGGTGCGTTTTATTTAAAGTGTCACTTAACAGCTTGTTAATTTATTGAATCAAATTTTTTATGATCGCACTTTTCGCAGACTCATAAATATTTTAATGCTTTTATTACTGATCATATTGAGCTCAATATTTTGACCATTTTTCTCATTAGTTTTCCATTATGAATCATAAAATAAAATTTATTCTTTCAATAGCATTTGCTTAAAGATGTAAAGCCAACATGAATAGAATTAAATTTCATTTTTTCCTTGAAGTTCTCAAACTATTTGAAAAGTTTAAGAGTCTTTGGTTCTTTATGTTTGAGAAACTCTTTCTACTGTGCAAACTGAGAAACTATTCACGAAAACAGATGTTAAGCTAAGAGATTGTTGGAAGATGAATTAAAAAAAAATATTTTTTATTCTATTATACCTTGTCTGTATCAGTTGAAAATAAATATTCCGTAAGATTAAACTGCAAAATATTGTGATTATCAAAATGATAAGCATTGCATTCAAATTGAAAAATGCCAAAATTCTTTTTGCAATCGGATTATTTGTATCATTGGTAATTGGTGGATGTGCTCTTGTAAAAGAGAGGACAAATTCTCAAATATCTTTTTATAAATCATCTTCGCGAATAATTGCTGGTAAATTTTATTAATAGATAATCCCTTAGTCACTCTCACATAAATTGAATTGATTATTTCAGATAACCTCGTGAATTTTCTTGCAATTACGGTTGTTCTCACTATCAACTTATATTACAGCGCAAAATTATTAGAAGGAATTGTACATCGGTTACCATTCAAAATACTTCCATGGGTTTTAATCAATGGAGTAAATTTGATTCAACTTTCCGTTCATTTCTTTACAATTGACACGATTATTGGATATTTGACGCTTGTTGTTTTCAGTTATATTTGGTTGACTATGCTCTTCCTTTTCTATGAAATTTTAAAAGCCACAAAAGAAGAAAATACAGTTTGCAACCAACCAGCTTCTGCACCTACAGTTGAGACCATTGAAATTCCATACAACACTTTCGGAAATGATAAACGAGAAGATTAATTTTCAACCAATTATTTTAATTTCTTTCTTGACAGATAAATAAAGTTACAATTTATTTAAAATTAAAACTCATTTATTTCATTATTCTTTTATTAAAATTAAATCAAGTTGAACATTTTTTTCTTTATTTTTTATCTTCCATCAATAACAATAACTTATGACATTTTGAAAAGTAAATTTTGAGCATTCTCATTATTGACAATAAAACATTCTTATGAGTATTATCTGGAATTTACTTCTTTTTTTATTTACAAGGCACTACAATAGAAAGGCACTTCAAGTCACGAGTTAATTTAGTAAGAAAAGTTTGACTATAAATTAAGAGAAGAGTCGAATCGCTTCAACATAAACACGTCTTAGAAAGCTGTGAAAAATAAACTGATAGAAACATTCTATCAACTAAACAATTGCAGTATGCTGAAAAGTAACTAAGGTTTAAGCGAATTGATACCCTTTAAAGTTAAGAGTGATTGAAATGATTTCTTTGTCGCCATTGAGTGATCTCTTCTTTCTTATCAATTGGTTATCGCCTTCGAGAACCTGCTGTTGATCATCAGGGAAGTTGGACACAATGGAATGGAAATCTGATGCACCTGGTTGCACTAAATTGTTAATATCTTCAATTAAAAGAGGATCGATTTGCCGTGACTGACGAACGAATTGTGATTTTGGTGCAGGTGGAAGATATGTCAAAGGCGGGTTTGTGCTAGATGGCCTAAGATAAATTTAATGTAATTAGAATTTTTTGACTTAATGATTTATTTAAGATGATTTAAAATTTGCAAGTTTTTTAAAGTTATCTTAAATTTGAACATAATTTTATTTGATATACATGAACATACCTGTATGGTTGTGGGCATTTTGGATCAGGACTTCCCGGGTAACATGCAGATGCTGATGTTACTGGTCTCGGTGTTGTAGAGAAAGGTTTGGGGCATCTTGGATCATTTGAACCAAATGTACAAGATAATCTGGTAAGAAATTAGTTAATCGTTAAAATTGATCTCTAAAAAAAATGCTTCAAATAATTTATTACCTTGTCGTTGTTTCAAACCTTCTTGTAGTAGCTGGTGGGAATGTAACACGTTGCGTAGTTGGTTGTGGACATCTCGAGTCTTTTGGATTCACTTGACAGTTTGGTGGACATCTTGGATCAGTCGATCTGGGAGTGCATGAGAATCTTGTTGTTGGTGGTGGCGTCGGGCGTGGAGTAGTTGGTTGTGGACATCTTGGATCTCTGCTTCCTGGATAACAGTCAGCTGGACATCTGGGATCAGTAGATCCAGGTCTGCATGTAAATCTTGTGGTTGTTTCAATTCTTCGTGGAGTGGTTGGTCGTTGTGTAAATGGCTCTGGTGGCAAATATGTAGGAGGTTGAGTTGATGGCGTTGTGTTGTTGGTTGAGGACATCTTGGATCTCTACTTCCTGGATAACAATCAGCTGGACAACGAGGATCAGTAGATCCTGGTCGACAAGTGAATCTCGTTGTAGTTTCTATTTTTCTTGGTGGCAGCGTTGGACGTGGTGTCGTTATTCGTGGACATCTCGAGTCACTTGGATTCACTTGACAGTTTGGTGGACAACGTGGATCGTTAGATCCGGGAGTGCATGAGAATCTTGTTGTTGGTGGTGGCGTCGGGCGTGGAGTAGTTGGTTGTGGACATCTAGGATCTCTGCTTCCTGGATAACAGTCAGGTGGACAGCGAGGATCGGTTGAACCAGGTCTGCATGTAAATCTTGTGGTTGTTTCTATTCTTCGTGGAGTTGTTGGACGCTGTGTAAATGGTTGGGGTGGCAAATAAGTAGGAGGTTGAGTTGATGGCGTTGTGTTGTTGGTTGAGGACATCTTGGATCTCTACTTCCTGGATAACAATCAGCTGGACAACGAGGATCAGTAGATCCTGGTCGACAAGTGAATCTCGTTGTAGTTTCTATTTTTCTGGGTGGCAGAGTTGGACGTGGTGTCGTTATTTGTGGACATCTCGAGTCTTTTGGATTCACTTGACAGTTTGGTGGACAACGTGGATCGCTAGATCCGGGAGTGCATGAGAATCTTGTTGTTGGTGGTGGAGTCGGACGGGGAGTAGTTGGTTGAGGACATCTAGAATCTCTGCTTCCTGGATAACAGTCTGCTGGACAACGAGGATCGGTTGAACCAGGTCTGCATGTAAATCTTGTGGTTGTTTCTATTCTGCGTTGAGTTGTTGGACGTTGTGTTGTTGGTCTTGCACATCTTGGATCATTTTCTGAACCTACATTCAAACAAGAGAATCTTGCTGTAGTTTCTGGTGGTAAGTATGTAGGAGGTTGAGTTGTAGGGCGTTGTGTTGTTGGTTGAGGACATCTTGGATCTCTACTTCCTGGATAACAATCAGGCGGGCATCTTGGGTCAGTAGATCCTGGTCGACAAGTGAATCTTGTTGTAGTTTCTATTCTCCTTGGTGGCTGAGTTGGACGTGGTGTCGTTATTCGTGGACATCTCGAGTCACTTGGATTCAGTTGACAGTTTGGAGGACATCTTGGATCAGTAGATCCCGGAGTGCATGAGAATCTTGTTGTTGGTGGTGGCGTCGGACGTGGAGTAGTTGGTTGAGGACATCTTGGATCTCTGCTTCCTGGATAACAGTCAGGTGGACAGCGAGGATCGGTTGAACCAGGTCTGCATGTAAATCTTGTGGTTGTTTCTATTCTGCGTTGAGTTGTTGGACGTTGTGTAGTTGGTCTTGCACATCTTGGATCATTTTCTGAACCTACATTCAAACAAGAGAATCTTGCTGTAGTTTCTGGTGGTAAGTATGTAGGAGGCTGAGTTGTGGGACGTTGTGTTGTTGGTTGAGGACATCTTGGATCTCTACTTCCTGGATAACAATCAGCTGGACAACGAGGATCAGTAGATCCTGGTCGACAAGTGAATCTCGTTGTAGTTTCTATTCTCCTTGGTGGCTGAGTTGGACGTGGTGTCGTTATTCGTGGACATCTCGAGTCACTTGGATTCAGTTGACAGTTTGGAGGACATCTTGGATCAGTAGATCCCGGAGTGCATGAGAATCTTGTTGTTGGTGGTAGCGTCGGACGTGGAGTAGTTGGTTGAGGACATCTTGGATCTCTGCTTCCTGGATAACAGTCAGCTGGACAACGAGGATCGGTTGAACCAGGTCTGCATGAAAATCTTGTGGTTGTCTCTATTCTGCGTTGAGTTGTTGGACGTTGTGTTGTTGGTCTTGCACATCTTGGATCATTTTCTGAACCTACATTCGAACAGGAGAATCTTGTTGTGGTTTCTGGTGGCAAGTATGTAGGAGGTTGAGTTGTAGGGCGTTGTGTTGTTGGTTGAGGACATCTTGGATCTCTACTTCCTGGATAACAATCAGGCGGGCATCTTGGGTCAGTAGATCCTGGTCGACAAGTGAATCTTGTTGTAGTTTCTATTCTCCTTGGTGGCTGAGTTGGACGTGGTGTCGTTATTTGTGGACATCTTGGATCTCTACTTCCTGGATAACAATCAGCCGGACAGCGGGGATCGGTAGATCCTGGTCGACAAGTGAAAATAGTTGTTGGCTCAACTCTTCTAGTGGTTGGTGGTGGGGTTGGACGTGGAGTAGTTGGTTGAGGACATCTAGGATCTCTGCTTCCTGGATAACAGTCAGCTGGACAACGAGGATCGGTTGAACCAGGTCTGCATGTAAATCTTGTGGTTGTTTCTATTCTGCGTTGAGTTGTTGGACGTTGTGTTGTTGGTCTTGCACATCTTGGATCATTTTCTGAACCTACATTCAAACAAGAGAATCTTGCTGTAGTTTCTGGTGGTAAGTATGTAGGAGGCTGAGTTGTAGGGCGTTGTGTTGTTGGTTGAGGACATCTTGGATCTCTACTTCCTGGATAACAATCAGCTGGACAACGAGGATCAGTAGATCCTGGTCGACAAGTGAATCTCGTTGTAGTTTCTATTTTTCTGGGTGGCAGAGTTGGACGTGGTGTCGTTATTTGTGGACATCTCGAGTCTTTTGGATTCACTTGACAGTTTGGTGGACAACGTGGATCGCTAGATCCGGGAGTGCATGAGAATCTTGTTGTTGGTGGTGGAGTCGGACGTGGAGTAGTTGGTTGAGGACATCTAGAATCTCTGCTTCCTGGATAACAGTCTGCTGGACAACGAGGATCGCTTGAACCAGGTCTGCATGTAAATCTTGTGGTTGTCTCTATTCTGCGTTGAGTTGTTGGACGTTGTGTTGTTGGTCTTGCACATCTTGGATCATTTTCTGAACCTACATTCAAACAAGAGAATCTTGCTGTAGTTTCTGGTGGTAAGTATGTAGGAGGTTGAGTTGTAGGGCGTTGTGTTGTTGGTTGAGGACATCTTGGATCTCTACTTCCTGGATAACAATCAGCTGGACAACGAGGATCAGTAGATCCTGGTCGACAAGTGAATCTCGTTGTAGTTTCTATTCTCCTTGGTGGCTGAGTTGGACGTGGTGTCGTTATTTGTGGACATCTTGGATCTCTACTTCCTGGATAACAATCAGCCGGACAGCGGGGATCGGTAGATCCTGGTCGACAAGTGAAAATAGTTGTTGGCTCAACTCTTCTAGTGGTTGGTGGTGGGGTTGGACGTGGAGTAGTTGGTTGAGGACATCTAGGATCTCTGCTTCCTGGATAACAGTCAGCTGGACAACGAGGATCGGTTGAACCAGGTCTGCATGAAAATCTTGTGGTTGTCTCTATTCTGCGTTGAGTTGTTGGACGTTGTGTTGTTGGTCTTGCACATCTTGGATCATTTTCTGAACCTACATTCAAACAAGAGAATCTTGCTGTAGTTTCTGGTGGTAAGTATGTAGGAGGTTGAGTTGTAGGGCGTTGTGTTGTTGGTTGAGGACATCTTGGATCTCTACTTCCTGGATAACAATCAGCTGGACAACGAGGATCAGTAGATCCTGGTCGACAAGTGAATCTCGTTGTAGTTTCTATTCTCCTTGGTGGCTGAGTTGGACGTGGTGTCGTTATTCGTGGACATCTCGAGTCACTTGGATTCAGTTGACAGTTTGGAGGACATCTTGGATCAGTAGATCCCGGAGTGCATGAGAATCTTGTTGTTGGTGGTGGCGTCGGACGTGGAGTAGTTGGTTGAGGACATCTTGGATCTCTGCTTCCTGGATAACAGTCAGCTGGACAACGAGGATCGGTTGAACCAGGTCTGCATGTAAATCTTGTGGTTGTTTCTATTCTGCGTGGAGTTGTAGGACGTTTTGTTGTTGGTCTTGCACATCTTGGATCATTTTGTGAACCTACATTCGAACAGGAGAATCTTGTTGTGGTTTCTGGTGGCAAATATGTAGGAGGCTGAGTTGTAGGGCGTTGTGTTGTTGGTTGAGGACACCTTGGATCTCTACTTCCTGGATAACAATCAGGCGGGCATCTTGGGTCAGTAGATCCTGGTCGACAAGTGAATCTCGTTGTAGTTTCTATTCTCCTTGGTGGCTGAGTTGGACGTGGTGTCGTTATTTGTGGACATCTTGGATCTCTACTTCCTGGATAACAATCAGCTGGACAACGAGGATCAGTAGATCCTGGTCGACAAGTGAAAATAGTTGTTGGCTCAACTCTTCTGGTTGTTGGCGGTGGTGTTGGGCGTCTCGTTGTAGGCTGTGGACATCTCGAATCTTTTGGATTCGCTGCGCAGTCCGGTTGACATCTTGGATCGTTTTTATTTTGTATGTAATCACAGGAGAATTGAGTTGTGGTTTCTGGTGGCAAATATGTTGGGGGTTGCGTGGATGGTCTCGTTCTTCCTCTTGTGACAGAAGTTCGTTCGGATGGAGGTCTTGTGTTTGGTGGTCTCGTTCTTTGTGGTCTTGTTTGTGCGCTAGTGGGTCTTGTGCGTACAGGTCGTGCTGTTGTCGCACATCGTGGATCATTTGGATTTGAGGCGCATGAAAACCTTTACGAAAATTTGAACGTTTACAAATTTGAAAATCATTGAATATTAAATAAAACTACCTTGTTGTGTCAGGAACGACTATCGGTCTGCTTGTTGTAGGTTGTGGACATCTTGAATCATTTGGATTCTCTACGCAGTTGGGAGGACATCTTGGATCAGTGGAACCGAGTTGACAAGAAAATCTTGTTGTTGTTTCAATCCTTCTTGGTGGTAAGGTTGGACGTCGTGTAGTTGGTTGTGGGCATCGTGGATCTTTAGGATTAGAATAACAATCGGCTTGACATCTAGGATCATTTTCTGACCCAATACTGTTGCAAGAAAATTGAGTTGTGGTTTCTGGCGGTAAATAGGTTGGTGCTTGTGTTCTACCTCTACCACGAGTTCTTGAGGGAGATGGTGTCGTGTAACGTTCTGTTTGAGCACGAGTATTCGGTCCTCTTGTACGAGCAGGTCTTGTGCGTTCTGATTGTGTAGTAGAATCAACTTCAATTACTGGAGATCCTCTGGTAGGTGTCGGGCGTGTACCTCTTGTTGGCCTTGTTGCAGGTGCTCTTGTTGGAGCATCTGTTTGAAGATTATAAACAGAAGAAGTAGCTACAGTTTGTGGTCTAGTACGAAGATTTCCTCGCCCTGTTACTCTACTTAGTGGGGATGTAAATTCGACTGATCGTGGAGTTGAAGTGATTCTTGCAGTCGTTTGTTTCTGTTTTTTAGGTCCTTCAACCAGTTGTGATCCTTCACAAATCGGTTCATCGCAGCCATTTCGACAAATCTAAGTAAAGAGTTTTATAAATTAAATATTCTTCAATCAACAAAAGCTAAAAGTTAATAAAACATACTTCGATGTCACATTTTAAAAAGACTTGTGCCTTATCAGGGAATTTGAACGCATAAAGCGTGTTGTGTAATACTAATGTAGCTCCAGAATTTCCAGTGCTTNGGATCTCTGCTTCCTGGATAACAGTCAGGTGGACAGCGAGGATCGGTTGAACCAGGTCTGCATGTAAATCTTGTGGTTGTTTCTATTCTTCGTGGAGTTGTTGGACGCTGTGTAAATGGTTGGGGTGGCAAATAAGTAGGAGGTTGAGTTGATGGACGTTGTGTTGATGGTTGAGGACATCTTGGATCTCTACTTCCTGGATAACAATCAGCTGGACAACGAGGATCAGTAGATCCTGGTCGACAAGTGAATCTCGTTGTAGTTTCTATTCTCCTTGGTGGCTGAGTTGGACGTGGTGTCGTTATTTGTGGACATCTTGGATCTCTACTTCCTGGATAACAATCAGCCGGACAGCGGGGATCGGTAGATCCTGGTCGACAAGTGAAAATAGTTGTTGGCTCAACTCTTCTAGTGGTTGGTGGTGGGGTTGGACGTGGAGTAGTTGGTTGAGGACATCTAGGATCTCTGCTTCCTGGATAACAGTCAGCTGGACAACGAGGATCGGTTGAACCAGGTCTGCATGAAAATCTTGTGGTTGTCTCTATTCTGCGTTGAGTTGTTGGACGTTGTGTTGTTGGTCTTGCACATCTTGGATCATTTTCTGAACCTACATTCAAACAAGAGAATCTTGCTGTAGTTTCTGGTGGTAAGTATGTAGGAGGCTGAGTTGTAGGGCGTTGTGTTGTTGGTTGAGGACATCTTGGATCTCTACTTCCTGGATAACAATCAGCTGGACAACGAGGATCAGTAGATCCTGGTCGACAAGTGAATCTCGTTGTAGTTTCTATTTTTCTGGGTGGCAGAGTTGGACGTGGTGTCGTTATTTGTGGACATCTCGAGTCTTTTGGATTCACTTGACAGTTTGGTGGACAACGTGGATCGCTAGATCCGGGAGTGCATGAGAATCTTGTTGTTGGTGGTGGAGTCGGACGTGGAGTAGTTGGTTGAGGACATCTAGAATCTCTGCTTCCTGGATAACAGTCTGCTGGACAACGAGGATCGGTTGAACCAGGTCTGCATGTAAATCTTGTGGTTGTTTCTATTCTGCGTGGAGTTGTAGGACGTTTTGTTGTTGGTCTTGCACATCTTGGATCATTTTGTGAACCTACATTCGAACAGGAGAATCTTGTTGTGGTTTCTGGTGGCAAATATGTAGGAGGCTGAGTTGTAGGGCGTTGTGTTGTTGGTTGAGGACACCTTGGATCTCTACTTCCTGGATAACAATCAGGCGGGCATCTTGGGTCAGTAGATCCTGGTCGACAAGTGAATCTTGTTGTAGTTTCTATTCTCCTTGGTGGCTGAGTTGGACGTGGTGTCGTTATTCGTGGACATCTCGAGTCACTTGGATTCAGTTGACAGTTTGGAGGACATCTTGGATCAGTAGATCCCGGAGTGCATGAGAATCTTGTTGTTGGTGGTAGCGTCGGACGTGGAGTAGTTGGTTGAGGACATCTTGGATCTCTGCTTCCTGGATAACAGTCAGCTGGACAACGAGGATCGGTTGAACCAGGTCTGCATGTAAATCTTGTGGTTGTTTCTATTCTGCGTTGAGTTGTTGGACGTTGTGTAGTTGGTCTTGCACATCTTGGATCATTTTCTGAACCTACATTCAAACAAGAGAATCTTGCTGTAGTTTCTGGTGGTAAGTATGTAGGAGGTTGAGTTGTAGGGCGTTGTGTTGTTGGTTGAGGACATCTTGGATCTCTACTTCCTGGATAACAATCAGCTGGACAACGAGGATCAGTAGATCCTGGTCGACAAGTGAAAATAGTTGTTGGCTCAACTCTTCTGGTTGTTGGCGGTGGTGTTGGGCGTCTCGTTGTAGGCTGTGGACATCTCGAATCTTTTGGATTCGCTGCGCAGTCCGGTTGACATCTTGGATCGTTTTTATTTTGTATGTAATCACAGGAGAATTGAGTTGTGGTTTCTGGTGGCAAATATGTTGGGGGTTGCGTGGATGGTCTCGTTCTTCCTCTTGTGACAGAAGTTCGTTCGGATGGAGGTCTTGTGTTTGGTGGTCTCGTTCTTTGTGGTCTTGTTTGTGCGCTAGTGGGTCTTGTGCGTACAGGTCGTGCTGTTGTCGCACATCGTGGATCATTTGGATTTGAGGCGCATGAAAACCTTTACGAAAATTTGAACGTTTACAAATTTGAAAATCATTGAATATTAAATAAAACTACCTTGTTGTGTCAGGAACGACTATCGGTCTGCTTGTTGTAGGTTGTGGACATCTTGAATCATTTGGATTCTCTACGCAGTTGGGAGGACATCTTGGATCAGTGGAACCGAGTTGACAAGAAAATCTTGTTGTTGTTTCAATCCTTCTTGGTGGTAAGGTTGGACGTCGTGTAGTTGGTTGTGGGCATCGTGGATCTTTAGGATTAGAATAACAATCGGCTTGACATCTAGGATCATTTTCTGACCCAATACTGTTGCAAGAAAATTGAGTTGTGGTTTCTGGCGGTAAATAGGTTGGTGCTTGTGTTCTACCTCTACCACGAGTTCTTGAGGGAGATGGTGTCGTGTAACGTTCTGTTTGAGCACGAGTATTCGGTCCTCTTGTACGAGCAGGTCTTGTGCGTTCTGATTGTGTAGTAGAATCAACTTCAATTACTGGAGATCCTCTGGTAGGTGTCGGGCGTGTACCTCTTGTTGGCCTTGTTGCAGGTGCTCTTGTTGGAGCATCTGTTTGAAGATTATAAACAGAAGAAGTAGCTACAGTTTGTGGTCTAGTACGAAGATTTCCTCGCCCTGTTACTCTACTTAGTGGGGATGTAAATTCGACTGATCGTGGAGTTGAAGTGATTCTTGCAGTCGTTTGTTTCTGTTTTTTAGGTCCTTCAACCAGTTGTGATCCTTCACAAATCGGTTCATCGCAGCCATTTCGACAAATCTAAGTAAAGAGTTTTATAAATTAAATATTCTTCAATCAACAAAAGCTAAAAGTTAATAAAACATACTTCGATGTCACATTTTAAAAAGACTTGTGCCTTATCAGGGAATTTGAACGCATAAAGCGTGTTGTGTAATACTAATGTAGCTCCAGAATTTCCAGTGCTTGTGCTTTTCTGCCATGTTCCGAAAAGTTTACGCTTTCTTGAACAACCGTTTCCATCCGAAAGTTGTAACCGTCCAGTATTTTTTGCATTATAATCTTCATTGTCATAAGCATAACAATCTTTGACAACCAAATCATACTCTTTCTGATCATCTTTTAAATATACTAAAACTGATAATGTCTCGCCAATCTTAATGCGATCAGGAATTGGTGAAATTTTAGGATAACTTCCAACTTGGATGTCCATCCAACATTCAACGCCTCCAGTTTGAGTTGGAACGTTGACAACTTCAAGCATATCGACTGAAAATATAGCCAATAAAAAATTGTAATTTATTTTCAATTAAATATTCACAATGCGACATACCAACAAATGGCTTGAAATAAATTGTTTTTTCAGTCGTCTCGCTTCTACTACAAGTGATTCTTCTTGCAGTGTCCCAGGTTTCTGTAATTGCTTCATCTGATTGAATAACCAGAATGTTATCAACTGACGCACATACAGAACAAGAAGCTTTGCTTCCGCAACCATCATATGGCACTGTGAAAGTATACACTTTATCGTTACCTCCAGCTTTTACATATCTAAGGAACAATAAAAATAAAAAGCAGATATTTTTAAAGTTCAATTATTCACTTGTCAACAAGAGCTGTTCATCTGTCACTCAATTTAACAAAGCAATAAATAACGGGCGTATCATAACATCAATAGATTAAATGGGCGTTACATATTATTTCACATCAAATATTAAGTTTTATAAAATGTTCAGGTGTCAACAAACTCCATAGTTGGTCAACTAAAGAGAAATCAATGCACGAGTCATCTTTCCAAGTTGACCTTAAACAAGCTCCATTCGCTATAAATTAATAGTTTTATTTTTTTACTACACTGTTATGAATTTCAGTTGCATTAATAACTTGAAACTTAAAACGACAAAGTAGCGTGCATTTACTATAAATAATCTTACTAAGATGTATCCACATCGAAACATTTTTTAAGGCGACTTTTTAAATTATCAGTGATAAAATCTTTTCTTCAAAAAAGTGTCCATGATTTAGATGATCATGTGGCGATCATCAGTAACAATAAGTTAAAAGCTAATTTTAACAATTCATCTCTAACACTTATCAATGATTTTCATCTCATGTTTAAAAGTTAGTGCTGCAATTTTGACTTATGTAAATATTTGTTAGAGATCATCAGACAAAAAAAACATCATGCTTCACTCCTTAATGCTAATTAAATAAATTTGTTCACTAAAAATAAGTAAACAAGCGAGGTTGTTGTAAGAAAAAATGGTTCCATCAATCTTCTTTTATTCGTCTCGCATATAAAATATTATCTGAGATGCATTCAGTTTAACATGAAACATATTTCTGTAAAAGTTATGTGATGATTCGTAAGGTAATAACTTAATGCTTTAATAATACATTATGATGCTTCGTCCTCTCTTATTTCCACTCATAAATATTTAAATATTTTTAAAAGATTAAATGTAAAAGTTTGAGGTCTGTTCATACCTGCATTTTGGATCCGAATAGTAACCTTGAGAATAAATGATGCCAGCAAAGGCTTCTTCGAACTCAACCGTTACTAACATACCAGCTTTTGCATCACACTTGACATCGATAAGTTCGACGTGAGTGTGACCAGTTGGTGCCACTGCTTGATGTTTCGTTCGAATGACGGGAATCAAAGCATTTGATTCATCAACATCGTAGTTTGAATCGTCGATGTCAAAAAGCGTCTCAGCGCATGTTGCAGTCTGCAATTAAAAATATGTAGGATAGTTAAAGCTTTTAAATGTCAACTTATGTTAATTCTCATTTATGACTTTGATGCAAGTTGCATCAGTAATAAATTACTCTCTCCATCGGTGACAATTACCGCACACTCAGTAGTGTACGCAGTGGAAACGTCATCAATCTTTAAAGTCATAAAATACGCTTTCAGCTTCAAACAAAGAGTCGAATCTTACATAACTCTAGTGATGGGTACTTGAGGTGAAAAAAAAAGTTCCAGGTGAATTTTTGGACATTACTTAAATTACATTATTACCGAGCATCAACTTCGCTCTCCATTAATTTGCACATTCATTAGGCAGAAGTCAAAGTTTTCTTTTTTCTTCTTTTCTCTTTGCGTAAGTTCAATCAGCCCAAAGAAAAAGCAACAAACTAAATAATTGTACAAGATGAAAAAGCAAACAAAACAAGAAATATCTAAAAAAAAGTTTTTCTCATCATGCCTAATGAAATTGCAGATTTTTTCACTGCTTCACTTAGACTTAGCCAGTTTTTGTACTGCTAATAATGATTATTGAATTTTATACTTAGCTAAAGTCTGTCGCAAGTCAGTTGATCTGTGCCTGATGGCCAACAATTTGTAATTTCAAATTAGAGAACTTATGAAAAGCAGAAGCTTATGAGCTGTGTACTTATAAGTAATTAATTAACGACCTTGCGGTTAATCTGATGATGTCAGATCGAGTGATGTGAAAGCCATAAGAGTTAACGCAAAAACTAAAAAGCTCGTAATAAAGAACGTTTAAAATGTTTATCGCTTTTCAGAGTATCAATATAATATTTCACAACTCTAATCCTGGTAAGAATGACTTCCATTGTAATAAAAAAATATAAATCGTACTTGTCAGAATTCTCAATGATGCCTATGAAGATGATAGCGAGGATAAAGTTTCTTCTTATGGGTTTGAGTGTTTAGCAGGGTGCGGGAATCTCATGGTCAACATCATCGTATAACATCACACAACTTAAACATTAAAATTGCGAGTCAATGATTGAACTGATCGTAAGCGCATCAGCCACAAATCTTCCTTATTAAGAGTATTTAAACTTGTCCAATTAAGTGCGGGCAACACAACAGGTAATTTCAGCTCTTTACGATTCACCGCGCCGAACATAATTAAGTTTGAGACAAGAGACAAAGATTGGTTAAGTAATCGTTCTCATTATTTTTCTTTCTTTTTTTCTGTGAACTAAGTTTTGGGTTGAAATAATTGTCGCAATTTTAATATTTTTAATGTTTCATATATGTGTGATTGCACTCATTTATTTATGTATGAACCCAGTCGGGGGCATAAAAGTGATTAATGTTCCCTTAAAATGACATTCATGATCACCATCAGAATGGATTTTTAATATTTTAAATTGGATTTTCCACTCTGATTCATAAACCATCGGCAGCAAACATGACACCGTCACGACTTTCAACTTGCGAAGATGAAAAGTTCAAAGCAAATGATCGATTATATATCGCCATGTAAGAAGAAATATCACGTCTTCAATTTTCTTCATAACAATAAGAAATAGCAGAGAGAAAGGAAAAAACGCGACGAAGAAATTGTTAAAAATTAATTTGTTTACAATTCCAAGCAGTTTTTTTTCTTGCTTTAAATTTCGAATAGAAAAAGTCGTGTTGAGCCAAAAAAATTTGTTTGCATTTTCATCTTCACCTTCGGGGTTTTAATTTCATTCATTTTACCGCTATGTACTTATATGCAGATATTTATTTAGATTGATTTTCAATTAATAATTATCCATTTGAATAAGTGAGGAAGAAGAAATCTTAAAGTCGCAGAGAGTCTTTATGTCAACCTCTTGAAATGCTTCATGGTAAAATGTGACGGTTTGTTGTGATTTCGCGATTACTTAACAACGAATGGAAGATAAATTTGAGGAAGGAAGAAGAAGAAAGATCTCCACTGCCCACAAAATATCTATAAATGCGTTCGAAATTCCAATTTTCAATCTGTTTAAAGTGATGATTGTCAGTTTCTTTTTTCACGAAACGAGACTAATTTAATTAACGACTATTTACCAATTTCAAAATTTCTCCAACACCAAACGTTGTCATCATACTGCTCGTACTTATGTTATGAGTGTTTGGATGACTGTTGGAAATTGCGTAATCTTTTAATAGCACTTTAAAATTAAGATAAAGATGACAGTCAAAATGAAAACGAGATAAAGCTGCTAGGTAGATGCTTCTTGAGAAAACCTTCAGAAATTAACAAAAGTCTAAGCATCCGTAAGTTTAAATAAGAATCGTTAGACAAATAAGCATTGTATTAACACGCATTTTTTTCTATTGTTTCTTAAGTGATATCATCGCTAAAAAGCTAACTGTTAAAACTTGAAAGAAATTTTTAACTTTTGAAACTTCAAGGCTGGTTATGTTTTTATTGCACACAAGTTTTCCTCAATTCATCAGAAAAGTTATTTTTATTCAATCAGTTGAGAAACATTCATTTCGCATAGATCATATTTAAAACTTTTAGTTTTGATTTATTAGTTGTAGCTTGATCATCAAAACGAGCTATCAAATTAATCACAAAGAAAATATCAGAGTTGGGCAAATTGCACGCCCAACTCGATTGACTGACTGACTGACAGACATTGACTGACTGTCAAAATGTCAATATCACAATATCACAATCTCAAAAATGAAGCAGAAATTTTGCTTCGGATATTGGACAGCCAGACAAAAACAGACCATGTGGTTATTTATTTTTGCAGAAATAGGGGGGTTGGCCAGTAGTGACACCACTTAAGGCTTAACACTTTGGGTGTTAATAAAAACATGAATATTTCCGAAGGTGGATAAAATTTAAAAAAATTGCTTTTACTATTTGAAACTATAATCTTTTAGGTCCTATTTTGTTTCTTAGCAAACGCTTAACACTACTTAGTTAAGCTATAATTAAATGTTTTGTCCCAGCCTAGCCTTGGCTAGTAGCGGACCATTTTTTGCTTCCCTCGGCTAGTAATGACACCATGGTCCGCTTCTAGCAACGGACCACTTCTGCCTCCCTTGGCTAGTAGTGACACCAGGAAGCAAAACTAAATTTCCATCAAGAAGAAGTTTGCATCTGTTATTGTTTTTAAAACAAAATAATTTTTAAAAGTTGAATTTCAATAGATTTCCTTTAATAATCAAATGTTTGTGTTGATGATGATTTAATTACACTTAACGGTTTGGCATTGCAAGCTGAAATTGGGAATTTTCAAGATGAGGTGAGTTTTGATGTTATCAAGCACTATTCAGTTTAATTAACATAAATTCTATTTTGAAGGATGAAGCAACTTGAATATTTTACAATGTCACATTATCTACCCGATGGAGTTATCAACAGGATAAAGAACTTGGAAATTATTTTCATAACATAAACTTTGAAAGAAGTGTTGGAGATGGAAAAGTCAACAGATAAAAACAACAAGGAAGTTTAACAAACGATTAATTTATGAGGAGTTTGATTGGCTTGAGATTAAAAATATTTGCTTTCTAAAACAAATTCTTATGTTGCTGTTCATTATCAATTTTATTATCAAGTTTAAGTCTTATGACAATAAAAGAAAAATTAATAAAAAAGTTGAAAATAATCTCATTTTGGTTGGTGACTATCGAAGAGAAGATTAAGAAACTTCGGCCAATGTTCGCTTTTATTCTGTCGCTTTTCTAAAATTTCAGCTGCTTTCTTATAATTCTTCATGCAGGAGAGTCTGAAAGAAATTTAATTAACAATAACTAAAATATAAAATTTCAATAGATAAGTAAACAAGTAAACACTTTTATATGATAATAAAAGTTTATTGTAAGATCCGATTTATATGAATACATTATGTCATCACAAATGTAAACAAAAGACCTCTCAGAACAGATTTCGTAATTTCCTTATTCACTCACCTTCCTGTGTCCACATCACGATCACTCATATTGTCACCATTAGTGTTTTCTTTTTCCATTTCCCTTTAAAATAGAATCAAATTATGACATGATTTAAAATGTGAAAAAAATTTACTTACCTTTCATAAATTAATGCATCTTCTTCCGGATTTAAGTCAAAGTCAACGTCAATAAATCCAGATTCCTGTTCAAACATTTTGTTTCAATTGTTTTTTGATAGTTTTAAACTTTTTTAAGCACTTTAGTTCCTAATTTTTAGTTTCAATTTTGTTTTTCAATTTCAATTGTAAATGTAAACAAACTTTTGCTTCTTTTCAATGTTTTCTGCTTCAAAAGTTAGCTTGCTTTCAAGTAAAAAACCGCAAGTTTTTCGTTTTGTCGGGCTGTCGCTTAGCAAATTTTTCGTTTTTTTTAATGCTTTTGACCGATCAATGATCCAAAGCATTTATTAAGAAATTAAGATTTGAATGAGCGAATGTGTTAATGCATAACGTTAGAGGAAGGTTCAAGGATGTATAATTAAAAAACGTTTCTTCCGGTAAGCCCTAATTGCGTTGGAAATTATATCCAAACAAAGTGGTGTCACTACTGGACGCGTTTTCGGGTGGTGTCACTACTAGCCAACCCCCCTACTTCAGTGATTTTATCACAACATGCGGTGATTAATCACAAGATTTTGAAAATTTGTTCAGTGATTAATCACCGAATGTTGTGATATATCACTAAAATGTAAGTGATAATCACAATANTTTCGCATAGATCATATTTAAAACTTTTAGTTTTGATTTATTAGTTGTAGCTTGATCATCAAAACGAGCTATCAAATTAATCACAAAGAAAATATTTTTTATGCAAATTTTTATAATTTAATCTTTAACCACGGATATAAGTTACGTTACTTCTTTATGATGGACGCAGTCAACCAAAGGTCTTAATTGATATTTTAAAGTTTATCTATAAGCAATTTCATTTCATAAGATATTCGACAAAGCAAGAAATAATTTTAAGAGCGCGCGTCTAACAAATGAATCACGATTTAAGTTGAAGAATCTCTGTGGCCTTTAACTTGAAACTTTAAGACATATTTCTACCTTTTTCGACTGGTTAGCATCTGTGGGTAGGAAGTTTTTTAAATAAAACATGTCCGGTGAATTGATTTGGTTTGTGAATTGCTTTCTTCGTTTTTCGTTTGTTGAAAATTAAGTCGAGATTATCTAAAGCTAGCAAAAGTGATAAATGAATTTTGGAAGTGCTAGTCAATCAGTCTACAATGTTAATTAAAATATTTCCTGTGCTTTATCTGACACACAATGACGTGAAAGTAGTGATTTCATTTCATCACAATCCCATTGAAAAAAATTAAGATGGGTGCAGCAGGCGGTCAGACGATTTCTTAACAATAGAGATTCTTCATTAAAAAACTATAATCAATCGACTATCATACTCCCATGCTCAAAATCATTTCCTTTTTGCATCTTTAAAGTTACAACTTGCACATGAAAACTTGACAACTTTATTTATGTGTTGAACTTTTATATTGAACTCTCATATCTCGTTAAGATTTTACTTTAAACGTTTTAAAAGCTTCCACTGCCTGATGAAGAAACGATTTAATCTTGAGAGATGATGCTGGTAGCAATATTTCAATACGTAACTACTAATTGCAATAATCAATATTGATGCATCTTTATGTGGAATAATTTTCGGAAATGTTTTTTCTGAGAAAAGACATACGGCAAAGGTCACAGGTTCATTGAAGATGCTGAAAGCTTTTTCGTTACACCTGAACTGTTCACTTAATTTTCGAAAGTCTGAACTCTCACTTCATTTATTGCAAAACAAGTGGAAATACCTTAAAAAGTGTAATAAGAAATTGATGAGGACATAAAGCAGAATTTAAAACGATTAAAGCTTCTTCCATTAATTGAATGTTTATGTGAATGGCAATATTCGATGTTGCATTAAATCGATTTGACCCATAAGACATTGACGTGATTACATAACAGACGCGCGCAACAAAATTTGGTCAATAATTCGGGTCATGTTACCACCGAAAACTGAAAAAAAGAAGACGAAAACATCTTCAATAACGCATTCCATGTCACGAGGTGATTCGATTTTACATCTTTAATGTAAATATTCAATGAAATGTAAATATTCATTAAAACCGGCTTGGATACAGAATTGACTTCCATTTTCCAGCTTTTTTGTTTTACATCCATAACACTCGTCTTTTGATGATAACTTTTTCGCTAGCAAATTATATATTAAATAATACATTAATCGGTATTCGCTTGAAACCTGTTTTTGTGACTCAAACTTACCAGACCTATGCATAAATTTACATTACATATTTACAATACATACATCTCGCATGTTTTTCGAGTCAGACAAATCAAAAAGGCGAAAAATAAAAGATAAATAAAGAAAACTTTCGCTTTCAACGAGACAGAGGCTTCGATATGTGTAGCGGTTAACCTCTCACTTCTTTCATCTCTTTCATCACTTACATTTTAACCGCATCTTCGTTGATCTATGAAACTTTAATATGAACTTAATTTTGGAATCTTTCATGAGCTATTGGAAGTGTGAACAGGTCTATTCGTCTTCATAAGCCCTGTCATTATCATAAAAACCCCGAACGTGTGTTTCTTGTTAATTTATTTTGTACATTTACGGTATTGTTTTTTACGTTCATTTGTTGATGAGGGACGAGGACCATTCGGCGTTTGTCTTAACAATTTGGTGTGCATCTTGCTATGTTTAATTGAATATCTTCATAAGTACTTAAATTAATTTGACCTTGACGATCGATCATTGAGATGCTCGAAATTCAATTGCCGTAGTCGATAAACGCACGATCACAATGTCATGTTGCACAATTAATTCGTATCTTGTCGGCATCACTGTGTTCATTTCAATGCTAATAATTGAAATGAAGACTCTTTGATCAATGAGATATAATTAAAATTATTTTATAATCTTCTTCATGTTAATTTTTCAGATTATGACTCGTCATGTGTAATAAATTTTTGCTTGATTTGAAAATCGTCCTTGACCCAACTGAACAAGGATGAGTTTTAGGAGAGAGAATAACTTTGTTTAATTAATATGCGATTATTTGTCAGGATTTGATGCATGAACAAGCTTCATCATTGACTTTTTTGTTATGTTTTTTAATACAAATTTTATATATTTTTATTAATTGTCCGAAATTTATTCAATAGTAGTCGGAAGAAATATAAAAAAAACTAAAACTGGAAAGCGCTGACGAACTTTAACATTCAAAACGACTTAGATGAGATGGAGAAAAAAATCATCACTGGAGATTTAAGCAAAATCATCAAAGATTTTGTTTGTTTGAAACCGGAGTATATAAATTGCAAGATCAACAAAGGGCTTTGGCAGTTTCAAATCAATTCAATGTCCATGCTTTTCAAAGGTTAACGACCAGAACTAAGCTACTAACATCCTTGAAAAATCTATAACATTTTAAATATCGTTAATTGACCTTTTTACATCTTCCTGGTAACAGAATTTAAACCAGAATAATTTATTCTGAAACTTGTAGGAATTTTTTCTTCACACGATCCCTCCATTTACATATATTTAGTATCTTGTGTAAGATAAATCAATTTCGCAATGCGTAAAAGATCTTTTAGAATAACATTCATTAAAAATCTTCTTCTTTCTTTGTATTATATAATCCTTAGATGAATTATGGAATATTCAATAATCTTCTATATTATTTACCTTAACGAGTGATTGATTTGCCAGTTAACTAGTGTTTTGATGTTAAAAGTTAAATATCAAAGTGTAAAATAATCATTAGAAGCAAAAAATATTCAAAGGTAGATTTATGAGCCCAAAAATTCTAAAATGAAAATCGATCAAACGGCACTCTCAAATATCAAAGTGTGGAACAACTCAAACTCCATTCCAGATTTTAACTTGGGTCGAATATCTTGGAAAGCGTGTTTTAAATCTTGAAGTTTTCAACAAAAGATTACCAGATATTCCAGAAATCTTTAACATTAAAAAAAAAGCTAAATTGAAGCTTTTCAACTAAAACCTTTGGAATGATGAGCTTCCACTAATGATTAAGAATGAACGCTTGTTGTTTCAATGCATAATCTTATGCAAATAAATATAAATATAAAATTAACTTACTTGAAATGTCAGCAACAGCAAGTAGAAATAGAATAACCCAAACTTGACCATCATTTTGATCTCAAATTTGTATTCAGATGATGCCACTTAAACTGGTCAGAATTTTATTTTGTTTTTAATCAATTCACTGATGTTGCTTGACGGTACACATTAAAGATATTTCGCACGTTGATTGCAATTCACAATCAACAGTGATAAAGTCCAACGATTATGAAATTCTGCTTTTGATCAACGCCAATTTCTGTTTGTATCTGAAAAAAATAAAATTTGACATTAATTAACAACTTTATATCAGTTTTGAAAGTAATTATTTGATGTGCAAGTTAAATATCACGCGACCCACAAAATAAAATAAAAGATTTCAACGATCAATCAACAACGAAACTCTCGTCACTCATATTGCGTTTTTAAGCTGAAGTTTCCTACTCGTCTTCTAGACAGCGGTCTTTTTTAATTAAAGTGACTTTATGCTATTACATAACGTTCATAATGTTCATTAATGAATTTTCTGTGTCTTCTTCTACTGCGCACGACCAAAAACAATGCTGCGTTCGTTCACATAATCGAGAGAAATGGAAAGGTCTCTTTTTAAGTTTCTTTTCGCTGTTGTTCACTCGATGGTCAATAATGTTGCTATGGATGACATTGAACTCATTCCTTATACATAAAATATTTATATTCTTGCTTCATTGCTAAATCAGTTTGCAGTTGAAAGAAAGGAAAAGTTGAAATTCGTGAAAGGAGACGATAATCGCGATGCGCAAGCAAAAAACAAAAAACTGACCAATAAAACTTGTTTCACGACCCAATCAGATCTTCCTTAAACCTTGGATACGTTATCTGACTTTAAATATTTCTACAACTAATTAAGTAAACAAGTCATTATGAGTATCTTTCATGTTGTGGACCTTTGTTTGATAAACGACTTGAGTTATTCAATGACAAGAGTTGAAGTTGAACAGTAGAAAAGAGTAGAAGCGAAGTTTTAGGGGAAATAGCTAATATAATATAATACGGAAACTTTTAAATTTTGTGGCAAAAGCAATAAAGTTTTAGATGATTTACGTCAACCACACATCGACTTCAACACTAAATAGCTTCTATTTTGTATTTTCAAATTTAACATAATAGAAATAGTTTCATTGCTTTCATTTTCAAGCAGATCATTTAAATAATTCAGAGTTTGACGACCTAACGCATGTTTTGCACTGCACAGAAGTTACTTCAACTTGACATCAATCACAATAAAGTCCGTAGACAAATCCAATTTAAACTTTAAAGTTCAAGTCGGAGATTTTAAAATCATTTCATCTTCAATGAACTTTTTTTTACTTGAGATTGACAACGCAATTGAACTTCAAAGACATACGAAATGTCTTCGCAATTCTATCGTTTAACATAAGTCAATGGTTTCAATATCCATAACTAAAATGTGTGCAATACCAAACATTTCTCAGCGTCTGACATTTTCTGTATAAAAAAGACGCTTTATTAATGTCCATCATTATAATTTTCTCGCCGTGAAGTGTATAAGATTTTTAAAATGTGCGAAGAAATTTGCATTTTGTTCGATGATTGTTTGTAAACCAAATTGCAGAGTTTAGAGATGAAGAGTTGAAATATCATAAAGAAGTCATTGTGACGTTTAAACACATGCTAAACCAAATCAAATTATGCAGATGACCTGCAAGACCAAAGCCCTCTTAAGAGGATAAAAAAGAAATAAATTCCGAAATTTGTTTCGCAACTTCCCATCATAAAGCACGAATGAAAGAAAAAAAACTAAATTTCTCAATCCATCCATACATTAATTTGCATCTCGTTGCGTATCGACCAATTGTGATCATCATAATATCAATTCGTGGAGTGTCGAGTCCCTTTCGGGCAACTGTCAATGTTCATTATGGAAATGGATGCTGTGTTATGACGTGAACGACATGTTTAAGTCCCGTGACACCAATATTTAACTTATCTACATGAATGAAATTAAATCATTATGCGTTGTCTTCCATCGCAATGTAGGCTGCATTCGGCACATTTATAATCTTTGGAATCCATCTAAACAACATCTTACTCTCGATAAATATGTGTGTCAATGGAAGAAATGAAATTCGAAACCGATTATAAATTATTGTTCGATCATCAACAATATTGTTCATAATTTTTTTCTACTCTTCCAAAAAAAAGCATAAAAATAAATAAACAAATTGATTATAATCTTGAGAGATCGATGATGGAGTAATCGACCACCAAAATGTTTACTTCAATATACGCTTTTTTGCTTACACTTTTCAAACTTCAAACCTAATGTGTCAATTTTCGTTTAATTTTGATGAGCCGGAATCTTCATTTATTTTTATTATTTACATGAACAAAAAAAGCTAAGAAAAAGAAGAAGCAAATAGAGAAAATGCAAACAGAAATCATCGCGTTAATATAACTAACAACGGATCGCCTCTTACTTGACTCGTAACCTCTTAATAACATTCGACAATTGATGCGAATATTCAAGTAAAGTTGATTAAGATTTTGATAAAATCTTGTAAAAAAACATTTCCTTATAATGACTTCATTCTCAACCTTAGTGTGGATCCTAGTGATGAGATTGCTGATCAATTAAGTGATATTTCATACTAATGATGCTTTGTTCAACCGCATGATGCCATCGGCCATCATCACTTAGTTTAAGTGAAAAATTAATTTTTGTTTCATTGAACTTTTGTGGGGACGCAAATTTATTTCAATTTATCTCGCAAATTATTTAATATTCTTGTTAACATGATATTAATGAGCCTGTTAATTATGTTCAGCGAATTGTGTAATTCGTAAGCAAGTGACAAGTTTACTGTTTCCCTTTACTAACTTAATCATCGATCGTGTAATTAGATTCTGAAGAAGTTGATTACGAAATGATTGTAATGTTGAAAAGTAAGCTTACTGTGAAAACATTTATTCAAATTTTGAAGTTTTTTTTTTCGGTAAGTGCGAAATGTCAAGTGCAATATCTACTTGTCTATTAGTCGAACATTTTGTCACGTCAATGGCAATGATTCTCTTTGTCAATAACTCATTTTTTTTCGTTTTTTCTATCACATCTTCATGCTTTTTGTGTCATGACAATAATAGAGACGAGACCTGTGATGTTGCGATAGACAAACATTGAAAGAAGAAAAGGCTGACGATAACATTTTCTAATATATGTTTATGTTGCGTATCTTCACACATTCCGCGTGATTAACGGTTATAATCAATCTTTGGTACAAAAGTCATAAATTCCTAATGTAAGTTTGAAGTTTCTGTTCATTGACGATACGTTTGTCGTTTACAAAGTTGAAGCTAACGTTGTGCAAATAAGCGCATCAAGCTAACGTGTCATGTAACGATTTGTACAGACAGCAAGCGATAAACCTTAAAAATATTGTTATTAATAAGCAATTTAATTTTTAACGAGGCTACACGAGTGCATCAAGAGTGGAATCCTGTTGGTTTAGATAAAAGTCAAGTGTTATGAATGAGATTTGAACTAAGCCTGAAGCTATATATGAATTCACTTAACATTTCCATGAAAATTACCTTTTTAGTTATTAGGAATATTTAGTTCCGAAGCTTCGCAATCACGAAAATAAACTGATGTTATTATAGAATGTTGTTTTAACTCGACATCGTCCGTCACCGATTAAATTAAAAACAACTGAAATGTTAATAAAACTTATTGCAAATTAATTTGTTTGAAAGCGAGAGAGCGAACTTTTGCATAACATTTTTATATTTCTTTTTTGATTTAAGTTGAATTTCTGTTGACTCATCAACAGCAACTTTGTGACTTTTGCAACTGAACTCAAATTCAATATGCAATCGAGAAGACATATGATCATCGAAGATGTTAAGTTTCCTTGTTGGATCGATACGAAAAATTCGAAGAAATAAATAAGAAGTAAAGTTGTCCGCCAACAACGGCTTCGTTGTCTCGTAATCACACGACACGATAATGCCGAAAGCAATAAAAAAAATTTCTCCTGACGCACTGGAAATATTTGGCAAGTCATGTCGTTTGTCAGTTTTAGAAAGGACAAAGCAGGCCAAAAATGATTATGAATGATTTATTGTAACAATCAACCACAAAGAAATGTCTCAACTTCAATGCTCAGCAGCTGTAATCGCTGTTGGGATATGAAAGAAGCTAATCGTTGGTCAAATGACCATCAACAATGACATAATTTCACGAAGCTTTCGTCGCGGGTTTCACCACCGAAGAAGATTTACTTCCAAACAGCATTAATTTTAGATGCGCAAACTAACTCGCGCGATAGAAAGAAAGAAAACAAGAAAAAAACTAAAAAAAGTCTTTTTTATCATTTCGCGATGAAGACGATGCAGAAAGAAGCAAAGAGAAGAGAAACTTTCGTTTTCGGTGAGACACCCGAAATAAATAAATAAAAAAGATGAAAGAAATATTGCCAGCAGCGGTAAAATGTGTAAAGATTCAAACGGACGAGATGAGAAAATAAAAATTAATATTTGTCTCGTTGCATAATTGAAAGACAATTCGAAAGATTATTTTTTTTTGTAGGTGATTGGATAGATGTTCATTTCGGATATTGCTCGCTCGATCACAGTTGGATGTTTTTTGTTTGTTTTACTTCTCTTTTTATGGAGATTCATTTAGATGTTTATGGCATTTCTAATGCTATTTGTCTGCGGAAAGAGTGCTATTCGGAATATCTGAACTTTGCATAACAGTTGAAATCATTGTCTTGAGATTTTTATATTTTCGCGAGATGTTATCGCGTTCCCACTAAGTGCAATTTGTAATTGAATTCGCATTTTGGCACCACAATGTTGTCGCGTGATTCCAATCTGTGTTTTCACATTCTACTGCAATATTCTTTCAGCATTTTATTAATATCAGGCTTCGAACTTGAGAGCTTTAAACCTCATAGCATTGAACTAAATATTATATTTTTTTCTGCTTATCTTTATGTTTGATTTCTTTTATAATAAATTTCTTTTGCGACACCATAGCGAAGTTGAATTTATTACGAAACATTTAAATCTTCATCCATTCACCCAATGTTTAGATTGCTTATTTTCACATCGCATGCAAATTTATTAATTAATTATTTCCTCTGAATTTCTCAAAAACTTTTCTTAACTTTGAATTTTTTTTCTTGTCTTTTTTTTTCTTTTTCTGATTTAATTTTTCCTTCAAGTTGAAGACATCAGCTGGACGTTACAGAAGACTGCGTGAAAATTCATCAACAATTCAAATGTTATTCGGGTTTCATGAGAACTTTAATAATTTAATGGAAGCTTGTGCTGATGTAATCTCAGCGATAGTGAAATATTTCAACCTCTTAAAACATAACAAAGACGTGTGATTAAAGTTTCGTAGTCGAGTTTATATTTCTTGCACTTTATTCAATTCGAGGTGAAGTTAAACATTTAGACCATAATAACAATAATATTTTTTGAACTCACTTATGTTCGATTAAATGTAATCCAAATATTTTAATTAAATAATTTAATTAAATTGTTAAAATCCACCGTGATCTTGGTTCTTATTTTTTTTTATAAAAATTCTTTCAAGCAGAAATCTCAGAAGTGATTTCTTGCACACTGCAAAATTCCAATTATTGAAATTGGAGAATTAAAAGTTCACACAATTTAAATCACAATCTGAACCAACGCGTTTTCACTTTCGTTGGACCAACGGTCGTCAAAAAACTAAACCGAAACCGTGGAAAAATCCGACTTTTATACAATGTCGACTCACAAACTGGTTGTGACTGTCGTACACATGCGAAGAAGCTGCATTGATCATCTTCATCACTTAAAGGTGTAAAGCTTTTTGTAGAGTGAATGGAGATCATCTCTCATCACGGTATTAGAATGTGGAAAAGCAGCAAAGATTTTCCACTTTTCAAAAGCTTTCAAAATGAAAAAGCTCATTTCCACTCACACATATTTAAAACTCACGAACACTTCCAAAGATGGTGAAGTGAAGTTGTGTGGTGCCGGCAAAATCCAACATCGTTCACATGTGAATTTATGAATATAAATTAAAAGCAAGATCATTAATTTACCGATGCCTTTTAAAAGTTTTTTTATCTGGTTTATTAGAACATCTTTACGATCATACGAAAGAACTTTTTCTTCCAAATTTAAAACGCCACTCCAAAACTTATTCAAATTTATTCAATTTCAAAGCTTCTAAAGGAGATTCGGGCTTTTTAATGAATTCTAAAAAATTTCTACTGGTTCTAAGCGATTCTATAATTTCCAGCTTTCATGTTGGCATCAGACGACGATAACTGTCAATAAACTTCTCACAAAAAAACTTTTTAACATCTCGATTGAAACACTTTTGCTCAAAGTCTTATTTCGCTTATTTACTCGTGAAATGTTTGTCGGAAAGATACGAAAAATTCGATTTTTTATTCCGTGCGAATCTTTATTTCTGTCTCTTTGAGTTTTTAATGGGATATTTAACATGCCAATGAATACTTTTCTTCTTTTCATATGATTCATTTTGCTGTAGATAATTGCGTTGGAGATGGAAGTAAACTTTCTTGTACTTACAACACTCACAGTTTCCTTTTAGTATTCGACAAAATAATTTAACAACGTAATGAATAAAGTTCATTGAATATTCGATTAAAGACCATCAACATTATTGATAGAGATGAAAACAGAATTTAACGCTGAGAGACTAATAACTAGGAATTGATTGTACATGAAAGACGAATAATGAAACTTTTGACCCTCCACTGAACCCACAATCGACGAATGGAAGAAAAAGTTTAAAACCTTAAATTTATTTGTATGAATGAACCAAGTGTCAATGATTGTCTCATAAGCTATTGTGAAGTACCAACAATTTCTAAGATTTATTGATGATTTGAACGTAAGTTGGTATAAATATCTATTTGATATTGGTCACATTGTCATTAAAAATCTTGTTTCAAATAAAGTGAATAAACACAAAGGAATTGCCAGTTTATCTACATATTTTTCTTCTTACTTAGTTGCAGTGATTGCCGTGAATTTTTTGTCTTATAAACATTGTTCGTGCTTCCAATGAAATCTTTCTTTTTCTTTATTTCGCCAGACACCTTTCTGTTTAAATCATACTCATTTGTGATTTCAACAAAACATATCACAACATGGCTAAGTATCGATGACTCATACTCGATAAATGTTTAATCTGAATTATCTTTTGATTAAAATCAATTCAATGAATAATAATAATAAAAAGTCTGAAATAAGAAACATTAAAATTGCATTGACATTTGATGTTGAATCTTTAAAATGTAGCTTTCCATTGCTTTGCATGATCGCGTAGATGTTATCGGGGTGAATCGCAAGTCTTTAAAGTCGTTCACCTTGATTAACATATTTAAACCATAGGGTTACTTTATTTAATATCTCGCAAGATTCTTTCACTTCATTTAGACATTCCTACCTATCTTCATTTCTTAATGCTATTTTTAACTGATGACAATACTTATTTATCTAAAAGAATCGAGACGAATATAAAACTTTAGCGACTCATTCTCAAGATAATAAATTATAATGGCAGCAATTAATAATAATAAAACGTACAGATTTAAGAGAAGAATAACAATAAGGTGCACAATATTATTGTAACGAATACTCTGAATTCAAGTGTCGAGGTCATCTGATCCTTAACGCACAGACACACACAAACTCAGACGTAAACTCGATCGAATTGCTTAATTCTGGTAGCAGCGCATTAAATGTTAAAGCACGCAAATATTTTGCGTTACAATTACTTTCGTGTGTTTATTTTAATTAATCATGGAGGTTGAAGAAGGTTTTGAAGTGTGTAGAGTTTGTTTAACGTCACGTGAAGCAACTCCTTTGTTTTCTATTTTCTTGTTAAATGGTTATGATGCTGGAATGATGCGAGACTTGGCAGGAATCGATGTAAGCTATAAAAATTTTATTTCCTGAATTGCTTAATTTATCCTTTGTAAATATCTAATTAGGTATCACAAGATGAAGGTGTCTATGATGGTCTCATATGCAGCGAATGTGCTGTGGAGCTGCAAGAAGTGCACAATTTTATGGCAGCAATGAGAGAAGCTGAAACAAATTATTTCGGACCTAAACGTGAGGAAGTTTATGGAAAAGAATGTCAAAAAGATGAAAATAAGTCTGAAGATAAAGTTAAAAAAGTTGGGAATAATTCAAAAGAAGGTTCAGTGAAGCAAAAAAAAGTTCGAGTGAATGTTCAAGTTAAGAAAAATCCTAAAAGGAACATTAGAAGAAGTGTTAAGTTTAATCCTAGAAAAAAAGAGAACAGACCATTCAAGTGTTCCATATGTTCGCATTCTTTCATCTACAAAAACTTTCTTCGTTACCATCTTGAAGCGATACACGCCAGAAATAAGAGATTTGAATGCGATTTATGTGCAAAACAATTTTATTACTTACATGAAGTTAAAAGTCATATGAAATGGCATAAAAATCCTAAGTATAATCCTTTGGATTCCAGTCGGCCACATAAATGCACTCACAGAGGCTGCAACAAATATTTCAATACTAAAAATCATTTGGAAAGTCATGTGATAACCCATGCTAGTAAAGCTTGAAAAATAATTTATTTTACATGCAAGAAATTCTTTTAAAAAGTTTATTAATTTCTTTAGATTATCCTATAAATAATCCTTCGGATTCCAGTCGGCCATACAAATGTACTCACAGAGGCTGCAAAAAATATTTCAAAAGAAAACAAAATTTAGAACATCATATGATTACTCATGTTGGTAAATTTGGAAAAACAATTTATTATACACGTAAGAAATCCTTTAAAAACTTTAATTCTCTAGATCATCGTCCCTTTGCCTGTTGTTGCAAGAAAGCTTTCAAGTTCAAGGGTCAACTTAAAACTCATCAAATAAATATTCATGGAAAGATCTCCAAAAATCTTCGCTAGAACTTTAAGAACAACAATGGAAGATCATTACTTCGTCATCAATTAGTTTTTTTTAATAATCATCATGTTTTTAAAAGCTTTTTCAAGAATCAATGCTGGTCGCATTTTTATTCTTTTATTTTTGAAATGTAAAGTTTTACGTTTAAATGGAATGTTCTATGTATCGCGTTAAACAATTTAAATATTCTATTTAATTACGAAGAGTATCATCGCCAAAGGCCTTGATTTAGGTAAATTATGTAAGAGACGGAATTAAGTTTTATGTCGTTTGAATTAAATTAATTAGTCAACATAAAAGTATAAATAGATATCTGTAATGTTGGTAACTTAACATGTAGTGGTTAAACATTAAGAAAAAAGAAGTCTTAATACAGCCTTCAGGTGTCTTTCTTTCTTTTATCTAGTTTCATTAAATTATATTTTAAATTCCAGGATTATTTCCACTATCCAGTTTCGTGAATATAAAAGAGTAGAAATAAAAAATAAAAACAAGTTTCTTAAGTTGCGTTAAAATATTTCTTCCTTCCCACCTTTATTTTATTTTTTTATCAATGAATCATTTACATGATTCATAAATGGGATCATTTTCAGAATGAACTCATGAAGTTTTATTTTTGCAAACTTATAAGTTTGCGAATCTTAAGAATATTTTGGTAAGAAAGAATCAAACAACATTTCATATTTTTTTGAATTGCAATAACTTTAATTGTTCAATTTGCTTCATATAATGACCATCATAATAGTATTTAATAATGTGTAGCATTAATCTTAATTGAAATATATCATATTTAACGTATCATCAGCAATCATTGTTTTGTTTCACATTTAGAATTATTTAATCGTCAATAAAATAAACGTTTACCTTTCGAACTCTTTCTCACCCTCGCTCGTGACGAGAGTTTTTGTTACGATCACTTTTCTCATATTTATAATTTAAAAGGAGCGGGGGTGGAGGAGAAAAATAATTAAAAATTTTATATGTTTGATCCTAACTAAGCGCCAGGGCCGTTCGTAACAATTAAATGCTAACGACACTTGATTTTTTTATAGAAGCCAATACAAGTACTGATCAGAGATTGATGTTGGGGTTTTATAAAATACAAGCTTTTCCTTCAACTTCCACACTGCCATTCTTCTTGAGTGCTCTTTGTTGCCTAAGGGAAAATGGAGCTTGAAAAGGATCCTCAGGAATGGTGGGATGTTCTAATCGTTCCAGCGATTTGGTTCCTGTAATTATATATAATGGTTACATCAATAAATTAAATGTTAATTCACTTTTTACCTTCTTGCCGAATCTTATCAAATTCAGCACCAAAAAGATCTTCTTCTTCCGTCACAACATGACTAAAAGGCGTTGAATCCTCAAATGGATTCCATTTGGAGATTGCATCTGTTGTTTCTTTCTTATAATTGCTTGATATCAAATCACCACTTGAAGCTGAATGCCCTGACGATCCGACATCTGAATTAATGCTGCAAGTAAATAAAATCAATTTCATGAATCATGAACGATATAATCAGTTTAATCCGTATGAAGCTTCTTAAGGATTAAACTGATTCTCAATTCTTTTAATTAAATTCAACTTTACCTTTTAAAGCCTGAAGTGTCACTTAAATACCGTCGGTGTTGATTAACTTTTGTTACTACTTGTTGCTGTTGACTTTCTAAAGTTGTCTCAAACAATTGTTGACCGCGAGTTTGGTTGTCGTTATAATTTGTTTGTATTTCAACTATTTCATCGTCATTCTCACCGAATGGATCCGGATACATACTTGACTTGAAGAGATTATCGAACGTTTCTGTTTCTGCAGGATTGTTAACAACATTTGAATTAATCAATGGTGTTGCAACTGTTGCTGGTGGTGGTGCTGTCACTGGTGCCATTTGATTATCAATGTTCGTAAAATCTACTTCAAATTGAGCATTGAAATTATCTGGCGTCTTCGAAGATGCTGATGATGATGATGCTTTAAAGTTTTGTGCATCAATTGGTGATGATAAAATATTGCGAGGTGATGGACTTGGTGGTAAACCAATTGTGAATTGATTTGCGTTAACTGGATTAAGTTGACATGCTTTTGGTCGTTGACGTGGTGTTACACTTGTCTCTGTTGATGCTAACGAAGCAACAGTTGGAGCTAAAGGCGCTTTTATTATCGCTTTCGGTGTGCTAAGAACAGATGACTTTTTCATTTCACTTTCAAATGGCGGAACGATTAATTGTTCTATATTAGGAATGGGCTGCTTCTATAATCATTAAATAAAATTATTTTCTATCATTTGCACTTTAATTAATCTACTTACGTATAAATTTTGAATAGGATTTGATCTACCGGACAGCAGAAAAGCAATTTCTCCTACTTGAAAAATGTTTGGTCTTTTGTTGCAATCTGGCTCGAGCATAAATCTGATGAGTTGATGCATTTGCTTAGAATATCTAGAATTATCGGAAATCGTGAATGTTCCATTTTGTATCGCAAGTGTACTCTCGCCAAAAGGTAAAGTGAAGAAGCAGAGTTTGTATAAGAAGCAGCCAAGCGCCCAAATATCGGATTTGGTTGTGATCGGTTGACCGAGAGTGTAAAAGTCGATCATTTCTGGTGCTCGATAGGATAGTGTTGTGTATTTCTTTATTTCTTCTTCGACCATCGCTACGCCGTGAGTTTTTGGATTTAAAATCTTTCCTGTTGCACTCCCAAAATCACATAACACGAAATCACCATTGTCACTTTGAAGGACATTCTCGACTTTAAGATCACGATGGAGGATTGGCGTTTGACAATGATGTAAACGTGATAATCCTTCGCATATATCACAGAAGATCTTGAGGACTTCTTGCTCAGTGAAACCTACGTTAAGCCTGTAAATAAGTTGAAAAATATTATTTACGCCCCTGAATTTATTTTCATTTTGTGATTCTCGTTATCAAAACTCGGTCAACTTACTTGGAATTCATTAAATTTAGAAGGTGAACTTTGTAAAACGGCATCAACACGAGTATCTCATGCACTCCGTTGCCAACATGCGTAATACTAGAATCAATGTAGCCAATTAAATTCTTGTGTCCACACAAATTGCTCCTGAAATGAAATAAAAATTAAGAGAAGCGAAGAAGAAAAAAGTATGAAAACAAAGAAGATTTACGGGAATTCATGAATAATTTGATTTTCAACAATGGAAACTTACGGTAATCTGAATTTCGCGCTTGCATACTGCGAGATCCTGCTCGTTGTTCACATACATGCGCTTCAGGGCATATCTAATGCTATTATTCCCTTTCACAAGAAATACTATCGCAAATCCACCTTGATAAGTGATAAGAACGTTACAAGATATGTACATGAATATTATTGTGGAATTAGAGCAACAATGTTTCGTTGCGTTTATCGTTCAAAACTCACCTTCAGCTAGAATTTCTTCAACAACCACTGAATGTTTGTTGATCTGAAACACTTTTCCCGTGAAACTAGTTGACGTGACTTTCTCGTCATTCTTATTTTCCAATTTTGAAAATATTTTTTTCATCTTATTGATCAACCTTTATTTTCAATGACTTCTACTGTAGAAAATTTTATTGGAAATGAGTCTTTGAACACTTTTCTGTCTGACTGACCATTGACTTGAAACAAGGGGAGAAAATTATACACTACATAGTTCACAAAT